TTATGGCTAGAAATTATGTCTTATGAAAACCATATTTCTATCTAATACTGGACATTTGAAGTATGTTTTATCAAGTTTGTGGTTTCCCTCAGGTTTCTGTTCTACATTATTTTTCATGCTTTGAAGTGCAAAACCTTCTTTCTTGCTTTCCTTTGCAAAATAAATTGAGTAAAACTCAATATGTTTACAAATTCTCCAAAACATTTTTGTCAACTTAAGTGTCAATCAATCCAAAGCTTCAACATCCCCCCCCCCCCCCCCCCCCTGGCGTTTGAGCATTGGTTTGTTCAAATTCCCACTCCTGAGTTCAAATACTCCACCCAGTCTTTTTGTATAAGGCAAAATTAGCAACAGTGACTTTCTACACATTGACTGAGCTTAAAACTGGACCTTTTAGACCTATTTGTCTGAGCCATTCACTTAGGGAAATGAACTATTTACCTCAAACACCTCCATGTTTAAAAGCATAACAGCTGTATTCTGCTGGAAAGACTTACTACTTAAGGTTCAAATTCCTCACCCCACTGGGTACAGACAATGGTCAAATACCTGTGGGTTGCCTGGGGAGATGGGCATGTTGAAGCTTCAAATTGATTGGCTCTTTACCAGTGTCTTTCTGGGTGGCTAATCATACTAAGTACCATTGTCTCACCAGATATCACCAATGGAAATTTGCATCAGTAAAATAATGAAAAAAATGTTTATTTCATAATTCCCATTATGATTTGAATAAATTATGTGAACATTTTTTTTAAATATGCATGCCCAAACAAAGTTGTATGAAAAACTTGAAGACAACTTTGAAAACTATCTGTAATGGACTAAGATTTTGTACAACCAAATAACTATTATTTTGTGAGTCAACCTGTAGTTCAACACTATGATCGAGTCAAGTTTAGGCTGGAATAAATGACTTGATCATTTATTCTCTCCAGAAACATGCCTGCCTGGCTCTGCGTAACCTGGTGGCTCGTAATCCTGATCACTGTGACATCATCCTTGAAGCGGGAGCTGAAAGCTTGATCAGGAAAGCACATGGCAAGATGGGTGATTGTGAGGATTTAGCTAAAGCAGCTCTCAGAGATCTTGGTTGTGATGTGGAACTTAAAGAGCTTTGGACTGGAACAGGACAAGGCAAGGTTCATCACTGATTTGAGAGAGCTCAAAGCTTTTTAACCAATCAAATTCAAACATAAAAAGAATCACTACTTTGTCAATGACAAATCCAGTGCCATGTGCTTGTTTTGACTGCAAGTTCTCCTTGGCTTCTTTTCATTTTTTTTTTTTTTTTTGACTAAGACTGGTTTTTGTAATCACTGACATTGGTTTTGAATTCAGACATTACCCTGTAAAGAGTGCTATTGATAATTGTAAGGAAGCAGTGCCTTGCCTTGTGACTTGGTCATAGTAGTTATCATGAGTCAACCAAGGAAAATCAAAGCATTAATTTGATTGCTTGCATAGTTCTCATTTTGCACCAACTGTGAGAAAACTGTGGACCTACTTTTGGTGTGACCAAGGCCATATAAGAATGTGTGTTAGTTAGAACTCACCATCAGCCTATATTTAACATTGTTTTAAAATAAGATATTTAATTGCATTAGAGTGTATTAAATTGTAACAATTTTAAAGTCATTCCTGCATTTTGAAATCTTAATGCAAAGTAAATCACAGCCAAGGGATACTGTGATGCAGTGTTCAGTATATGTACTTCTTAATGAAAAGTTTGTAGTGGAAAGAGATAGAAATTACTGAGAGGTTTTGGATGATAGGTAAGAGGAAAGCAAAGGGAAGAATAGGGGGAGAGTGGGAAGAAAAATACTTTGCTCACTCTCGAGTGCACTTCCAGGGCTTTCCCCATTCCCAGTTTTTTAAGGGAAAACTTTGACTCTGACTGAATGGGAACAAGTTTGGCTCACTCACTTCTCTTTCACCTCAAAGAATCAAACCAAACATAGCAGTTTGGTGAAGTTCTCTTTACCCTGATTATGAGTTGGAATACAGCTTTCTTCTCTATTAATAGGACATCAACACTGCAAGTTATGTAATAACTAAGGAGAAGACTCTAAGGTCCTTACCCTGTCAGGTAGATGCAGTGATACACTGAATACTTAAAATTATACATTGAAATAGTTTTTGTACTTAAACATTTGAGCAAAGCAAAATTTATAAGACTAAAAGTGGCTATTTCCTTTACATCAAGATCTTTGGTTCCAAAATAATTCATAAGTTATTTGCTGGGGATCATCAGGTCCAAAAAAAATTTCATTGCTTCTTTTTTTTTCAATAATGTCCCTAATTATGTAATTATGTCTAGTGGGAGGGAATGAAAATAGCTCTCATTAATGTTAATTCCTTCCATTTATCAGAAAATTGCCTCTGTTTTCAATGCAACAACTAAACTACCTAGAACAATTTAAAAAAATTCCTAATACCCTAAAAACACACCCTTTGTTTCCTAGCTGCCAGATACTGAGCTAAAGTATTGCATAATTTTAAATATTCCCTTGAAAGAATTAAAAAATATATTTTAACCTTAGGTAAGTTAGCTCCCTTTGAAATATTTCCTATAAAACTTTTGGAAAAGTCTTGTTTTGGAGAAACCCACACAAATTAAAACTAAGATATAGGCAACCATGATTGAAGCTAACGGATATCGGAATATCAGCCAGTTACGAGCTTGAGTCCTGGATCAGGAGACAAAAGAAAGTTACCATAAATCAAAATTAGGATAGAAATTTAAATGCGAAAATACATAACCACAGTTTCCACAAAATATGTACAGAGATGTAGGGATCTGTCTGTCACACAACAAAGTTTATGTACATTCTTTAAATCCCAGAAGTGATGAACTAATACTTTCCCTTCTCAAATTTAATAAATTATCCTGCAAACAAATGATGAGAAGAGACAAAATGATCAGTGGGAGGATACTATCCTGATATAGCATCAGCTTCTCGTAACATACTTTCAAGGAAATGAAAAGTAACAAGATGGGAGAATTGCCCATATGATCTTGGAGGTAAGTGGTTCACTAGTAGTTCAGATAAACCCCAGAAAGAGGGACAATGCAGTTTAAAAAACACCAGGTACAAAATGTAAACGAGCAGAAAATGTCAAACAAAATTTTCCAAAGTAGTGAACATTGGTATAAGAGCAATTTTCAATTGAGTATCAAAAGTCGTCTGGGATTGCATTAGTTTTGCTTCACTTTGCCCTGTGATTGGCCCAGAAAATTTGCACCTCTATTTCAACCAATCAGATGCAGAACTAACCAATCATGGCTTGGGTGCCTACATTTTACCATGCTTTAAGGAGTTTGGTGGTTTTTTCTTTAAGTTCTCAGAGATTCTTTAAGGTTTTTTCCTATCTTTTGATTGCCTGTTGTCATAGGAATTTTGGTCTTGAATTTATGACACTCAATCAAAAAGTGTTCGAGAAGGTCATCTAATATTGTTCTTTCCTGTTTAATTCTCAGCTGCCCAAGTAACAAGAATGCACAAATGAGAATATATAAAAGTATCAACTATCTAGGAGAAAGAATAAATGTTACTATTACTAATGATTGTAATGCTACATTTGCTATACCTTGTAGGTGCTTTCTTCTCGGCATACACCAGCACATATTTCACCCTAACAACTTGGTTGTTTGTAACAACATAATATCTCTCTGGGACATCTCCTCCCTCACTGTTTCTTGCTCTGGCCCTAGAACGAGTTAGTCTGTTGTCATTTGCTTTAGATTTGATAGTACACTTCACATCTGGATGGTCCAGGATCTCACAGACAGCCACGATACTTAATTTTTCTCCAATTGTGCTGTTTTTCCAGCCTGAACCAAAACTACTGTAATTCATACAAACAGTTAGATCACTTGACAGGTAGGTCCCTTCTCCAAAAAATGATGTCTAAAGAAAATGAAGAAAGGTGGTTTAATTTACTACTCAATTTAGCTAATTAAACATCATAGGGGGTAAGTTTCTAAAGAAACTGTGGTGTTGCATTGGTGGGAGAGTATAAGTGGGTATTCAGTATTATCAACTGAGTTGATAATGTAAGTTGGCCTCTGTAAAGAGTTTCAAAGCTGACATTTTAAGCGTCAGAGTGAATGTTGGTCATGGTCATTCCCTGACGAAGGGTTAGCGCTTGAAACATCAGCATTGAAACTCTTTGCAGTGGTCAATTTCTGTTATCAACTCAATTGATAATACAAAATTACTCAGTTTAACAACTGAAATATAAACAGAGTGATCCATAAGTCTTTCAACTGATTAGACTGAGTCTGTGCTAAGCCGATTTGCCCAGCCAAACCAGAGCTTATCCTGGTTTCCACATTAGCATGAAGCAACTGGGAGTATTACTACTCCTCTCGGGATCTGATGCCAGTCTGTGCATGGTTACCCCCCTTTTTTCTAGCCTGAACCTTTCATCAGGCTTCCCTGACAATTCACCAGTACCTATTTTAAAAACATACTCCTTGGTTGGGTTGTCCAAAGGACAATTAAGCTAACTGAGGGTTTACCAACAATTTTGATTTTGTTTTGTAGCTTTGTGAACAGTTTTAATTTGCTCCTTCAGTTTTGTCTTACACTAACTTTATGGTAAAACCTCTCAAGATGTAAGCCCTAATATCTACTTTATTTCAAGAGAAATCAAGGACAAGTTAAACTTTTAATCCTGGATTGTTGTTATCCCTCTTTCAAACAAGTGGGCCCTGGGTGGAGAGAGTCACTATGGGAGAATAAGGAAAAACTTTGGGAGAAAAGTGGTTTGTCCAAGAGCACCACACATTGACCCAACCATGTCCTAAACACACACACCTTGACCCAGAGTCCGGTGCACTGACCATCAGGCCACTGGATCTCCTGTCCACTAATTATTCAACATGTTTATTCATGTTCATATACATATCAGCCATTCATCCTTGGAGATCCAGAGGAAAATAATGAAGGGGCAAGTGTAAAATAAAGGAGCGATTTCAGTCCATGGCAAACTTACTTTGTGGGCTTACAGCTAGTTAGACAGTGAGCCAGTCTGCCAGTCAGTCAGTCAGCCAGCCAGTGAGTTAGCCAGTCAGTCAGTCAGCAAGCCAGTAAGTTAGCCAGAGAGTTACCCAGTCAGCCAGTCCATCAGTCAGTCAGTTAGCCAGTGAGTCAGCCAGATGGCCAGTGAGTCAGTGAGTCAGCCAGTCAATCAGCCAGTGAGTCAGTCTGTCAGTCAGTCAGTCAGTCAGTCACATAGCCAGCCAGCCACTTGATCAGTGAGAATCTTGAGGGATTACCAAGTAACTCAACTGAGCAAACAGCTGACAAGACTCACTTTGTTAAGATGCGCATGTAATCCATTATTCAAAATAGAATGAAAATTGTCCACTCTACTTCCATGGTAAGCATACCAAACATCATGAGTCTGTGACATGTCATCAAACATTGCACTGAGAGTATTTGTCTCACTGTAAACAACTTCGAAAATGAAGTCAGGTGTGGTGGAGCAGTAACTTGCTTGACCAGTTTTTTTCTCAATCTCCAAGAACTGTTGGCATTAATAATAGCAAAAATAATTGTCACCGAAATTATAAGATACTAACTTATGTAACACAGGGTTTACTTTTTCAAGCAGACACCAGTAACATTCACCAGTTGTGGTACTTCTTACAGCTGCCTACAATTGCCTAAAATTCTGCAAATTCAACAGGTAAGAGATTTGCTGTGCTGGTTTGACAATTTCTTTCACCTACTGTGCTTAATATAAGAATCCTGGTGGCACCAGCAAAACTAACAGCTAAGTTGATCATTTCACCAACATAATATTGCCCAGGCTGTTATTGGAATGTTATTAATCTATAATACAATTATGTCATATTTTGGTCTAAAAATCTGACTTCTTTCAGGTACATGGAGTGCAATTTTACAATTATCATAAGGCAAAAAGGACAGAAGGATCCATAATCAGGCAAATTTTTATTGAAAAACATACCACAGATTTCTTAACAGATCTCAGTGCAAAGGTTCTATCCAGTGCCCAATCCAAGATATCCCAAGTTTCTTGAGCATATACCTTCTCACTGGTTTCTGTCAATAGCTTGTCAAATGCGGGAACTGTACTGCAAACTTGAACCTGTGAAGACCAATTTTAGTGGTGCTGTCTATTACCATGAAGTACCACAATTAACAAGTGGGTAGCCACCTTTGCCAAAGAGCTTTTGGGTGTATGTGTTAAAAGATGGCCACAATTTTTTCAAAGAGGCCTTAAAGTTTTTTAAACCATCCGATACAGTCGTCAAAGGTGCTGAAAGCAAAAATGGACGTAGGAAGAGGGGAAGAGAGAAGAGGAGGAGTGGAGAGGGAATTAGGGGAAAACGGAATGTCCAGCTCTAAAATGTAAAGTACAGCCGAACTCAGATTTTTAGGTGACCGACACTCACCAGCCCTTGAAAATTCTTATTACCATCACCAACCACATATGCAGAAGGAAAGGGTCTTAATATGCTATCATGTCTATAACTTTCCAGAGCTGAAATAAACAAACTCCACTGCAGGTCAGCGGATGTGAGGTCAGATTCAAGTCTTTGTAGCACACGTTCCTTCGCTTCTTCAGGTTCCATTTTTTCCAGTGTGTAAGAATTTTTATCGGGCTATCACTTTCCACATAATTTCCCCATACAACTAGTTACCAAGGGAGCATCTTCGGGAATTGTTTGCAATCGCATAAGGCCACGTAAACGTCCGCCATCTTGAAATTGGTAAAGCAGTCTGGGAACTCAATCTACACGAGTAGCCAATCAGAAAGCAGCGCGCCAATCTTAAAAGTCGAGACAAATATTCCTAATGTGGCATTTACCGGGAAGAAGTTGGTTTGGGTCGTCAGAGGTCGTCGAAATGTCAGTGAAGCAAATTTATTACTCAGAGAAATACTACGACGACGTATTCGAGTACAGGTAAAGACACTAAAAACTCGCTACCTTCCTACCTACCTTATCTCTTCATTCTAGATGGTTCGTAAGCTGGTTTTGAAGCGAAAACCAACACAGTCTAATACATCTTGGCAAATTTTACTTCTTACTTGCTCTTGTTTCAAACGAATTAGTCTTCTCTCCAATTGTCGTTGTTACAATTTTGACTTGGAAGAGGCACCAACTAATACTCTCTAACTACTGTAAGTTGTCCAGTTTGTTTCATTTGGGAAAATATCTGAATATATAACTGTCGTTTAAAGTCTTGTGTTGTAAGAACAGATCAGTTTAGGCGAAGGTTCATTAAAAAAAAAAAAAAAATGGCTACGTTTCCTTTTACGCGTCGCCCCGTGAAAATGTAAGTTTTTTCGTTAAGACCAACTGGTGTTGATCATTTGGTGCCTGCTTTTCTAGACATGTCTTGTTGCCGAAGGAAATAGCCAAGCTTGTCCCAAAACGGCATCTTATGTCAGAAACCGAATGGCGAAGTCTTGGTGTTCAACAATCTCAGGGTTGGGAACATTACATGAAACATGACCCTGGTGAGTTTTAGATTTTGTTACGTACTGCACGGTCTTAATTTGTGGCTCATAAAAGTTTACAGAGCCTCTCAGAAACGCATATACAGTCTGGTCTGGTCAGCATTCACTTGCAAAGTGTGACGTTCATCCTCTCTGAATTTTCTTTAAACTTGAAAAATTAGCAAGGAGAGCTCTGTTTGTAATTTTTGACCACAAAGAGTATATTCTCTCATCTGCTTCCCCCTCAAGAGTTGTAGACTCTATGCAATTAAACCTCTCTTAACAGAAGTGAAAAGAAAGTTCTTCAGCTGAATTAATTGCAAGCAAATATATGGAAATATTTTGAAAAAAACATTTGACAGAAAGGGAGAGAAACTGTCTTTTCCATGGTTGTGGGTATGTGTTTGACCCTTAGAAACACAATCCTCCAATAATATGAGAATATTTTGCACTATTAGTTTTACAAGTTAGATGGAATGAGTTGAATGTATACTATTTCTCCTTGCTGTATGAATATTTTCCATGTTTAGCACTAAATTGTTAAATCTACAGGAAAGACGTACTTCATGTGGTCAAATGAGTATTGAAAAAACCTCTATTTTGCTGGGATTGAAAGAATTTTTTGCAATGCTTAAGATCATCAACTTTCATTACAATTTTTTAATGAAATTTGTCAGGCTTCATTACTTCTATTACTTTAATTGCACTGCACCTGCAATGATCATTTTTTTCCTTCATTATCAAGTTTTTGGGACCAGTTTAAACAGGTCATTAGTACTATACAGGTCTTTTGAAGCTTTGAGGGGCTGGGGAACTGGGTACATCCAAAATTCTACTTATGATTGACTGTGTATTTTCAGAGCCTCACATTTTGTTATTTAGAAGAGAAAGGACGGATCTGCGTAAGAATTAGAACACAAGAATGCCATTGTAGTAACTGTCAATGGAATGAAGCTGGAACAGTGTACTAATGCTAACCTCTACATTAAAAAATAACAATATTAATGATATTAAGTTTATGATGTAAATTTTTCAGAGTTCATTTAAATTGTTTGATTGTACAAATGTAATTATTTGTGTTTCATTGATTCATAGTTCAGATAAATGAACTCAAGGAACTTCATAATGTACAACATAATTTATTCATCAATTAATTCAAATTATTTATTTGACTGCACTTTTGAGCTTTCTTACATAAAATGTACTGTTTGCTTAATTTGCTGCATTAATAGAAATAGCAAATGGAAATTTGTTTATTAAAACGTTATCGAGAGTTAAGCATACCTTTGATTTTCCACAAGTCAAAGGCCGTCCAAGATATGTTTAATGGGATAAATGAAGTTTGTATCTCTTTGAACTGCATGTTGTGGAAATGTCTTTTTGGCCCCAAAGCAACTCATTGTCCATCGAGTTTTTAACACATCACTCTCTAAAAAATTAATGGCCCCTTCTTATGAGCCAGGGTTGAATCACATAAATCAGGGCGAAAATAAACCCTGGACATGATTTTGGATTGCCAATCTGCACTTACTCAAGGTTTGCTTTGAGCCTGACTTTAGTGAACCTTCCTAACTCACAAAAACCTGAAAACCCAGCAACGTTCTTTCTGTGTCTGCAATGCCTTGCTTCCCTTTCAAAATACCGTAATCATGTTTCTCATTTTAACCAGGGTTATAGCAATAAACTTTGAGTCTGAAATTAAAAAAAAAAAAACGAAAACATTGGAACTGTCCAACGTAAAAATATGTGTGCACCACAAGCACATCAAAATCCAAGACATCTCTTGCAAAACCAATTTCCTATACAACAACCACTACTTTATTTGATGGGTACTGTCACTGAAACTGCTGACTTTTCTCAAGCCCCTGGCTGACGTCCCTTGGAAACAAAATCAGAAGACAGAAGACGATACTTCATGAACAAAGTCATTCGAGACGTTCATTTGTCACGCCATGCCTTGCGTTACAAACAACGGAAGACTGGGCAAGAAAATCATGAACCAATCAAATTGTGCAATCCTTTTACTTTCGGCCAATCACAACGAAAGTACGCGTTCATAATTTTTCAATTCAATCAAACAGTTACCGACTCTCGGTTGTAACCGATTTTCACTACATCTTCTTCGTTTCCTAACGTTTGCCGCCAGTAATTTCGCGCAGAATGTCTGTGAGAGATATTTATTATTCCCCAAGATACGCCGATGACGCAGGTGAATACGAATTCAGGTAAGACTTGAAAATCCGGAGTAGTTATTAGTAATGTTTGCTCCCTTTTCTTCCTTGATTTCGAAACGCGAAGAAGTGATAACAGCTGCTTGGTCAAACTTACAAATAGTGTAACAGCTTCTTCCTAATAGCGTGTTCTATTTTTTGTACCTACAAGACATGTTATCTTACCAAAGGACATCGCTAAGAAAGTTCCTCAGAGGCTTATGACAGAACAAGAGTGGCGAAATTTGGGGGTTCAGCAATCACAAGGATGGGTACATTACTTGAGACACGGACCAGGTAAACAGCTTCAAAACAACGTGTAACGGTTTCAGAAATGAGAAACAGAGTAAGACTGCTTATTGCCTGTGACTTGTCTCTGATTACGTTTCAAATCTACCTGTTTTAAGAATAGTTGTACCTAGTAAATGCGTGGAATGAAGTAGAAATCTCTCCGCCATTGTTACCGTTTTGGCTATGTTCTTGTTGAACTGTGTGACAAACTTTGTAGGCACAAGCCAAATACAAATTTAAGAGAATAATAAACAACACACTTAAGCTCCAAAATGATCCCATGCCCTCACCAAGGCAAATTTACAAATTTAAAATAGGTAACTTGGTTGTAAATCTAAATAACTTTTGTCGTATAAGAAGCTGTTAATTGCGAAGAATACGGTTAAAAGTTGTAACCCATATTCTACAATTTTTCTACAGAGCCACATATACTCTTATTCAGGAAGAAAGTGAAGTAAAAAGCCTTGCTCAGGAAACATATTGTACAGACATTTATGAAATGAATTCAAGTTGGATTTGAAATGTAATGATCAAAACAGGGATCATATTCTTGTCCACTCTGTCAGAGGCATTTTAAATGGGTGCATGAACAACACGATCAAGCGCTTGCAAAATCATCAAGGGGCTGCTTCAGATTTAACATGCTGTCAATGTCTGCCTCTCCAGGACTTATTGTGGGCCTGTTAGTTATATTTTGTACATATAAATGCAATTATTTTTACTGTGGAAGTCTTAGATAGCTGTCTTTGCATGCTTGCTCTCAAGTTACCTTATTGGTGGTAAAATGTTTGACCTTGTTTGAATGTTCTTGCCTCAAAATTTTCATGTGTTTCAATCATGGAAAAACATGCCGCTTTTAATTTTACTTTAAGTAAGATTTTCGTGATATGTAATGATTAGTTTAATACAAATTAAATAAGTCTCTGTTGTCAAGAAGCCTCTGATCATTGGTGTATTAGATATGAAAATTGGCTAATTAATAGATTTAACATGGGGTGTGCAAAAGAACCTCCCAGGCCCCAAGAGGATTTCAAACTGAAGCTCATTCGATCCCCAGCTTGATGCAAAGCATAAATTGTTCTCCTGGCTGCAGGACAAGCTTTAATTGTTTTATATCATTGAAATGAATGGAGTCAAGTGTGAAGGGTATGAAAAAAGTGAGAAACCCCATCTTTTTCCTGCCTAATGTTTGCCTTGGCTCACCTGAAAAAGAAAAAAAATTCCCCTGTACTCCATACTGTTGTCCTCTTTGGCCTCAAGTAAAAGATCAGGCCTAGGTGTTCAAAGGGTCAGTGATTTTGCCAACTACTTTTGTTCAGAACAAAAATTGAGACAGTTAAAGTGTTAACATCTCACTGCTAAAACTTCAGAGGGTTTGGAGACAATATATGTTTAGAATGGCTGGATATTTTATTTTTTTTCTAGTTCCTGCACATGGAGCACAAAAATACAAAACTCTAACTTGTGGCCTGTTTACAGCTGTCCCCTCAACTCATTCTTTTTTATGTTCATTATGTAAAGAAAAAAAAACCCAAACAAGAGGAGAGCACACAATACAAAGCACTAAATTCAAAAAGTTTTCATTTGATATGATGTTAGCTATGTGTTCTGATACAGTACACCAATACTTCAGATCCAATGCGACCCTCTGGGAAATGGGTGTGAAAGAATCTTGCACACTGCAACAGAAAAAACCAAAACAAATTTCACTGGTTGAAATGTGGCTTTCAAAGTTTATCTTTATAACCCTTGCTTAAGATTAAACAATCATGCAGAACATATGTTCTTGTGAATGGTTAGCCTGCAAAGTAGGTGTAATTTTGGCGAGCTAATGCTCAACATTTCCTTAGCAAAAAAAAATGGCTGCCATCTCTTATTTAATGTCAGTGGTAGGAGATTGAAAAAAAATCCAAATTGATGCAATAATTTGATTGATATGTCATTACTTATATCTTCCATCATAATGAGAAACCTCAAATCATTTAAAGTGAGGGAGGCAGTTTAACATCACCAGGCAATAAAGTATAAATTTTAGAATGTTGATCAAGGCAAAACCCTAAAATATATAACCACTGATTATTACTACAAGTATCTAAGACTTAAGATTACAATAAAAAAGTGTAGTTGTCAAACAATGTTACCTCTTTGAAATGAAAATTTCCCAACCAGTTCCTTACATCCTATGAGGAAAAAAAACACTAAATTATGAATGAACAAAACAAAGAGTCTGTAACAAGTAAAAACAAAACAACAACAAAATTATGGAAAAAGGAGGTACAAAAAGTGAACAATGGTTACTGGCAGACTAAAAGCTAAATTAACCCTTAACACCCTAATATCAGTACCTATATTCTCCATACTGTTCTCTGTATATTTCCTAAAGTGCTGACAAGGAGAGTTTGTTTGACAATCAAGAGTTTCTTTAATTGGTGATCATTTTAATTATTCTCATCACATTAATGTGTGATTCAGGGGTGATAATATAGGGAGAATTTAAATGATAGTCACTCCTACAGGTTAAATGGAGTTTTTGGTTGGCAGTATTACTGCCGTTGGTGGTAATTTACTGTATGGTGGAACAAAAAGTAATTGTTTGCTAATGATTGGGAATTTTTACAAGACTACAAATCAACAAGGGTTGGGGAGAAGAGATGATGACACCCAACAAGAAGTCTTGTAGCTCAGTTGGTAGTAGTACTAAACTAGAATCTGGGAGGCATGGTTTGAATCTCATCAAAACTTGAATCTTTCCAGGCTTTTTTCTGCAACTACTAAAATTGCGAATTGCAGCTCACCTGCAAGAATCATTGTCTTACCTGATTTTCATCCAAGATAAATTTAGACTTGTTTCATTTAAAATTGTAAGACTAAGTGAATGGTACAAGTTTGGTAAAGAAAGATCAACTAACAGGTAAAAGCACATTGTACAGGACAATGTGTGTAGGAAATTGAAGCTGATCCTGATGACCTGAAGAGAGTCCATACTTTTCTGATAGCCACATTGTGGGATTTCTGTAAAACTGATCAGCTTCATCAATGTACCCTGCCTCATCACTTGGGGGACATTCTAATATCCTCATGCTTATGTTTCTGTGTACAAAACTATAAAAAACCCTGTTATTTAATGAGTTATTAGGTTTATATTCATCCACAACCAAAGATGAAGTAGGACATAAACTTCTGATTCAGTTAGATTCAATCTACTCCTTATGAGTGTTACTATGTTCTCTTTGCATTCTGATGCTCAGAAACTGTGTATTTTCTCGCAAGTTTATTTATTTAACAATTTGCTGAAGGCAGGTAAATTCACAATAGGACAAGGTTGTCCCCTACAAGGTAAATTACCTTAACATCAAGATTCGACATCTTGCCTTTATGTAACCTTTCCAACAAGATCAAATTCCTTTTTGAAGTCATGAAAACTTTTATAATGTTGTACCTAGTTTGAACAGTAATTCCCAGTAATTCGTAACTACTGTCATGGGTCAAATCTGTTTATTGTGTTAGGCTTTCAATTCATGGAGAAGAGTGAATTACAAGGAGGTAAATGAGAAAAACAATGAAGTTTGTAACCTAGTGGATCCTATCTTGTTTGCATGCAAAAAAAATTTTTTGAACTTCCTATTTTTCAGTCATCTTCCTTGAACTAAAGCTTGGAATGAGGTAGTTAGATACTAAAGAAAAGGAAAGCAAATACATGTACAAAAAAAGCTGAAAACAGTTTCACAGGAGCAATCATCAAAATTAAAAACAGTACTGTACCTATAAAATGGTGTCGAGTGACATGGCATCAGAAATAATACAGACATGTCATTAACACTTCTCAGTTTGGAGCTTTCAATTTGAATGTACTCCATGACATCAGTAGTTCCCTTTTGGTGAACAGTGCTAGTGTATATAGCCAATGGAATGTTTGTTAGCGCTAGAAATAGTACCATTATCTTTGCTTTCCAACCAGATTTCATCTTCCTTGAAAAACCACAACTAAATGCATTATCCTTTTTCTCACACTGATACCCAGAAAGAAAACTTAGAAAGAAACCACAGTAGCACATGGCTAAGGGGACCACTGGAAAAATGAACCTAAACTCCTTGTGTCCCAAGAAACTGGAAAAAAGAGGAAAACAATAGTTTTTATTATAATCTGGTATTTAACTATACAACTGATCCTACTGACTAATAATTCAAATGCTGCAGAAAATCAGGATGGTGCACTTTTCACTCAGAACAGTCTGTACCAAACACCCCCAATATTTCATCACCAGGTGTTCAGAGGTTGACAAAATATTATCACAAAAGTTTTTGCTCTTATTTAAAAAAGAAAGATTTCGGGTTCTCTTTCCATTTGCAACAAACCTGTAGACAACGATGCTCCACAAGATTAGAAAAGTCAAGGTTTGCTGCCTTTGGGAAGATTTGTAAACACCACCAACAAATGGAATCAAGTGTGTAAACATCACAGCAGGAAATCCTTGGGTGAAATACCTGTGAAATATGCAGGTATTAGCCAAGGCAGAAGCATAATTTTTGAAGAACAACTCACATATTGTATTCTACAAAAAGAGCTCCCTTTCCTTTATTGAAGGAAAGAACTGCTCCAAGCTAGAGGTGTCCAAATTTTACCTACCAGTGCCATGGATGACTTCCATAAAATGTTCCCATATCATTAATAACATTAAATTTGATGAAGTTGAGTTCCACCAGTGTCCATGTGCCATGACACCAACTGTTCACAATGAGGGACCATAAAATAGCCAGACATCCAATGGGAAAAATACAGTTAATAATAAATGATAATTTGTTTGGTGATGAAAATAAATAAAAAGCACACAATGGAATCCACATGACTGCAGCTGTTGGTCTGATAGTACAAGAAAACGCTGCAATACAGAGAGCTCTGAACACTTGTTTAAAGCTATCTTTTTTGCTGCCGCAAGGCCAGTAATAAAGTGCTATTGTTGTCAACACGGTTTCTAGGGAATTTGTCAGCGTCCTAGTCACACAGTAAAGTGTAAACCACGAGATCAAGTAGCAGATAAGTGTCCATCGAGCAGTTTGTACATCGAACCTCTTTGCTGCTAATTTGTACAAAAACAAGTCGCCACACGACGCAAAACATGCCTGCAACACCCTAGGAATGACAACAAGGAACTTGGCGGTGTCAATCCCAAATAGGGCTAAGCACTTGTAGCTTGTTGCAAAGATCAAAGGATAAGTCCAGCCTCTAAGACCCTCTTTCCATTCCCACGTCAAATATCCATATCCAAATGCAATTCTATGGGCTACTTCAGGTCCTTGCCAAAATTCATCCGGGACGAAAAATGTCTGGATCACCACAGCATTGATGACCCTAAAGAAGAGTAATGCCGGAAACAGCCAATTTTTTGACGGGTAAATAACATTTGGAGATACCATAGTGACTTCTCCCTGGTAGATAGAAGATGGCTGCTCTGATTCCTTATCCATCTGAGCCTGTTTTCTTCTTTTGAGCTCAGGTCCTCCAATTTCTTCGACCTCCATTTTCACCTTCGGTATCAAAATCAACAAGGCTCTTTATAGTGTGGAGCCCAGTCTCAACTCTATCGCTAACGAGTAACGCCTGATGATATTAGATAGACCGTAACGATCTGGTCCTAAAATGGTGCTTTCCTTCATTAGAAGCATCGGAAGAATGCCTTTACATCAGTTATTTATAGTGACTTTAGTCGGAGTTACAAGTGGTGTATATATCTACAAACCGTTGCTCGAGAGATACGTGAGTGAACATGGTATAAAGAAGGAGGATAGCGCCACCATTCAAGCTGCAGTTGAGGCAAAGAGTACAACGTCGGCCCAAAAGAAAGATCGTCCAAGTGAGAATTCTGCAAAAGAAAAAGCAAGGGAAGAGAAAGCATCTGAAAAGTAATTAACCTCTCTTATGTCGCTCACTGAAATGAAATGTGCAATGTGATGTCTCCAAGAATTTACCAGTACCTGATATGAAGGTGGGCTGCTGGTGACTTCTATCCCGAAAATGACATCGTGAAGCTGAATACTGCGATCGCAAGCCTCATAAGGTGAAAATCAAGGTGGAATCAAGCTTAATTGGACAGTGATGGCAATATAAGTATAAGTATGACTCTGTCTGAGGAAGTTAAATGCACTCGGTCCTGCTTGGGTGGAATACTGTATAGACTGTGCTTTAGGGGTAAATATCATATTGGGCAAACCCTTGATGGAGTGAAATTTTTGGGGAATGGCTTACACTTCATATCCTGTAGGAAATGGAACTTGGAAAAATTGGTCATAATTTTTTTTGTTAATTTTCACTTTTTGCCTTCCTTTTTTGGGTAGCAAACAGAAGCTTGAGGAAAAAACTGAATTTGAATGATGTGATTGATTCCTACATGATACATAATTCTAATACATTTATTGGTAGTTGTAAAAATTAAACATTACTCAGTTATCAAATTTTTAAAAGGCATTGTTTAAACTAGTCTGATTAGATCTTTCAGATTTTTGCTAATGTTCAAGTTTGCTCATCAAAGAGATTCCCCTACATTTTTTGCAATCATTTCTCAGAAGCAGAACAACCTAAGTCTGAATTGCAAATGTGGTCCAATCCCTGAGTGTGAACTTTTTGTGTACAGAATTTAGATTCCCATACATTTTTTACAATCATTTTTCACAAGCAGAACCACCTAAGTCTGAATTGCAAATGTTGTCCAATCCCTGAGTGTGAACTTTTTGTGTACAGAATTTATAAAAATATTTTTTTTGCCATCTTTTGAGCATGAAATCTACAGAAAATTTCTCCCAATGCTTGCGACCCATTTCTAGCTAACAAGTGAAGACCAGCAAAAGTTATGTAGAGTGAAAAGAACTGCAATGGTCATCTTGATAGAATTAATTGAGTAAGAACTGAGAAAAATGACCTCAAAGAGAATATATTGCTGGTTAAACTAGACCATTCTCAAAACAATTGAATAAAGAGGGTAAGTTTCTAAAGAAACTGTGGTACTGCATTTGTGGGAGAGTGTAACAAGGTAATTTAGTATTATCAAGGAGTTAATAATGTAAATTAGCCACCATAAAGAGTTTCAAAGCTGATGTTTCAAGCTTAGGCCCTTTGTCATCGTTCTGACAAATTGTGGTTACACATCAGATGTTCTTTGAAGTCCTTTTCCTTCTCAATGTCCTAGTGGTTTCCTTGGGGTTCAGGAGGAGCCAAAAATGCATGCATTAATGCCTTGGAACTTAGAAGTATGGTCAAACAAACTTTTGTAATGGTTCTTGCTCCAAGGGATTTTAATTTTTGTGTTGATTTTTTAAGCGATGTAATTCACGACCACCAGCTATCTCACTCTGTATTAGTTAATATTTGTACTTAAATCAGATACTCTTGTGATCAACACTTGTTATCAAAAGTGAACTGTAATGTTAATTACCTTGTATAATTTGTATTTGAAATAAAAGTAGGCAAATAAAAACATGATATTTTAGCAATTTGATGTCACTTAGTGCATGTAAAGAATTTTATGATTGGATAATTATGTACATGGAAATCAAAGGGAGAAATTTTACAATACACATATTTATTTACAAGAGGTAACTGTGGTGATGTTCTTTCAAGTAATGTATAGTAAGGGAACACCTAAAAAGGGTTTTTTCTTAACCATGACCTCGGGTGAGCCGTGTAGAAAAGCAAGACATTGCTATTGAAGAGAATTATAAGATTAATGCTTGTAGTGCTTCAATACTCCTATTTACCAAGCTAATATTTTGCATTGTTTGCTCAGCAAAAAAAAAAAAAAACTGAAGCAGACTGACTTTCTCTATCTAGACTTCATCTCAAGAGTGGGGGTTCTCAGGGTGCCCTACGCATGAGAATTAACTGTTTTCAAAAATATATCGAAACGGCTTTTAACTTTATTTCGTTTTCTTTTCTTATTGTCAAATTTTCACTCTTCTTTTGACAACTTTCTCTATCTCAGCCAATCTTTTGTCCATATCGAGAAATAGTATGTCTACGAGACTATGTTTAAAACGCCAACTTAAACAGCTGAAAAATTTCAGCTTAAAAACATATGCTATGACACCTTCAGTTTCTTGGCATATTTTGAAAACTGTTCAGTTGCGAAAATGGCAACTTTCCAGCGTTTTTTCCCTTCCTATATGCAAATTCTGACGCTCTTCCCGCAAGCGAAACCGCTCTGCTTGTGTACATTTTTAAAGTAAAAGTGCCGAAGAGTGAGTTATTTAAGAAATTATTGACATTTAACCCTTCAGATGAAGCGATTTGAAGTATACGTGGCAGTTATACTTTTCTGCACGTAGGAGTTGTTCCAAATGACAAAAATTGCATCACTTCTACCTCGTAACTTACAAGAACGTAAATTTTGTTTACATCCAGCTTTTATTTGATTGGTTAGCTTCACAGGGGGCGTGAAACACGAGCAAAAATATTCAAATGTAGATGCTGTAATTGGCTAGTTACTATCACATGACCACTATCCCGGATTGACAACATGAAACGCTTAGTTGAGCAAAAACCAAAACATTCGACTGTTGATAGAAAATATCTCAGAATCGTGTGCTAGTAAGTAGCGGCGTTTAGAGAAATCTCTTGTTTAGGTCGTCTTTTCATTATGTGATTAATTTTCTACGGGAGTCATGGCTTCCAAAATGTCAGACGATTTTGAAAACGAGTGGACTTTTGTCGATAAGGATGGAAAAGTTGACATCGAGGTAAAGTGCATCTTCAGTTTCTTGTCGTTTTCAGCGAAAGAAATGTTCTGGTTTTCCACACTCTCATGCTTAAAAATGAATATGTCTTCAGTTTAACTAGTCCTTCTACATAGGTAAATTTGTGGAAATCGTCTAATCTAGGTGGGGTATATTCTAGATGCAAATGCTTCAACCGCCCAAAATTTTGGCGCCGGGATTTTCCGCCATTTGGAGTGTAAATTCAGGATGTTCGAAACCTGCATTAATATAGGTGAATCGCAGCACAATATTGGGTATTAAAAAATTCCCCCGTGCATTAGCAACACTGCTAGTTAGACAAGCGTACTATTATTTTGGCTGTTTGTTTACAAAACGTCCCCAAGTCTCCATAAATTTGCATTTTGGACTTGTCGTATTTACCTTTTCGCCTGTCAACAATAACCACGTGATAACCACGTTCGTTTTACACCTGTGATTACATAAGCCGGGTGTTTATTATTAAACGTGAAAATGATAACAAATTTGTTGTACTCTCTACCTCCTTTTCTCAGCCCATTGCTGTTGTTACATTCAGCAGTCCGCACTGGGCGAAAAAATTATGTTGCCGAGCAAACTGTAACTTTTGTGAAATAATTTCTTTGTCAAGGTCAAAATTCTTCATTAAATTGGAGTGATTTTAATTTTAATAGAAATATCAAGGGAATTGTCAGCTTCATAATGTTGCCTTCTCACTATTTGGCTGATTTGATCTTAAGTTAGAAAATTTTTAGTGATACAGATTCTTATGTTGAGAATTCACTTTGGATAAGTAGAATTTCTATAATTTTGACTCAATTTATGTAAATAAAATTAATGTTGAATTCATCATTAGATGATTATCTTAATTTCAGATTTATTTGGCCACGAAATTTGTAGGTGCAGAGAAAGAAGAAAGAAGAAAGAAAAATAGAATGTTTACTTTAATTGATTGCTATAAGGAGTCATTGATTTTCAAGCTACCAGAGATTGTTTCAAGAATATTGACTAAAACTGAGAAATGTGTTTCAATGCTAAGCAATTGCCTCCACCTAAGTTCTTGAAATCATTTTAAGTTACTAGCCATGCCTACTTAGGCAGAGAAGTTTTTTGACTTTATTTTTAATAATGATCTTATAAATGTTTACTTTAAATTCCAAAATTACTGCAATACCTGTTATAAATAACAATATTTATAACAATTACTGTCATAAATACAGTAATTGTATGGATCCAATAGCATTTGGTGCTGATTCTGTTTGAAGAAATTATTGCTGGCCAAGCAATTTGTTTCTTTTAACCCTTTAACTCCCATGAGTGACCAAGACAAAATTTCTCCTTACAATATCAATACAATATCAACTAGATAGGTGATAAGAATACAGAAAAATATCAATTTGTGTATAATTAGTTGATCCAATACTAAATTCTCCAAACTAACCTTATAAGAATTGTACGATAAGACAGGAAGGAGAATAATAAATTTGATCTGGGAGTTAAAGGGTTAAATCTTAGAATTTCAGGGAGCTGTGAATGAAGAGCATTCTTTGTTTTTATATTTCCTTGCTTTAAAAGTTTTATTTGGTTTCCTTTGTTGAAATGTTCAGTACTTGAAAGAAACCATAAAAAAACAGCTTAATTCAGCCTATTTCTTTCTTTTTTAAAATTGAATTTGTTATTCATCCATGTATTATCTTATTAAATTGTCTAATGTCTTTTTAAATTTATTTATTGAATTAAGAAACTTATACTAGTGTGCAGAAAAATTAAATTCAAGGAAACAAAATTTCAAAGCTAGATTTTGTTTTTTTTCAGCCAAGGAAGAACTCTGTATCCTATTCCAAGTCACCTTCAAATACTGATGGGTTAGTTTCCACATTTGAGTCACCCAGTGCTACAGATGACAGTGAAGGAGAGGCAGAGTTTGAGGTCCTCAGTGGATTTCAGTGTCATCAACCACCAGTCGAAAAGAAGAACCTGGACTCTGATCTTGCAACAAAAACCAAAACCCAGAATGAATTACATCTTGGTCAAGAATCTGAGACAGGAGATGAGCTTTCGACAGTTCAACAAAGCTCTTGCCAGTGTGCTGCAGATGATGGTATTATGATCATTTCAAATCACTACTGTGTCGACCAGGATGTTTCTTCTGTGGAAGGCAATGATGATCAGTTGCCCTCTGAATTGGACATTGATCATGCAGGAAGTGTACATTCCCTCACTAAATCAACAGACAGTAATTCCTGTGTTTGGCAAGAACTTCCTCTACTTTCGGAGAGTGGTTCTTTCTCCTTTGGTAATGATTCAAACAGTTCTGACGAAGATAACGCCATTGAGACAATCCCTGAACAAGATGAAAACGAAGACTATGAAGACCTAAGTCATGAAAATGAACCACATGATGAAATGGTTGTGTCCACAAGCAGCATTTTCTCATTTGATAGTGATTTATTTAATCCTAGTGATTTGGATGAAGACAATGAGGTTGAAAATGACAGTTCTGATTTAACAAAAGTGTCTGAAGTCATTGATGAGGACAAAGGAAGAGATGAGGATGATGAACCAAGGGAAGATCATACTGCGACAGAAGGAAGTGACAATTTCAATATCTTCCATGTTGATATTCCAACCTTGTTCGTAGTTCTGGGTGTAACAACTGCTCTGGGATTCAGTATTGGCTATGGTAAGGCAAGCTATTAAATGATAATGGCTCTTTAACTACTGTAATGAATGTATTTCAGAGAATGATAATTTTGCAAGGGTTTTGTTTGGAGGATGGTTTTTTTTTTAATGGGAACAGATTTTTTTGGTAAACCCTTTTCTCCTAAGAGTTAGGAGCATCTTATTCCTTCTTCTAATATCATCCCTGAATCACAAATTAAGGTCACACAAATAAAGGAAGTTATCACCAGCCAAAGAAGCTCTTGATCAATAAACAAATTCTCCTGGTAAGCACCTTATCAAATGTATAGAGAACAGTAAGGAAAATGTGCGTAGTGATGGTAGGTTGTAAAGGGTGAAAGATGACTCTTCAATAATTCAGATGGGAAACAAGTTTGCCAGATCTCTGTGCATTAATTAAATATAAACTAGGAAAAATGGCTAATGTCTTCAAATTTATGAAGAGTCTCTTGATTTGAGGTTCCACCCATGGCTAGAATAATGTTTTGACAAATTCTGAGCTATGATAGAGAGAGTGAGATCATATATGTTTATTGTGGGAGGAAAAAGACAAATAAACTAAATTCTAAACTAAAGTTAAACTCCCACAATATATTCATTGCTCTACTCCTATGTATTGAGCACTGTTTTACGAAAGTCAAATTTTACACTTCATATATGTATGTATAACAACTATCTGACTGCTTGATTAGGTGTTATGAGATAAAATGTTTCACTTTTGGTTGTACCTGTGAGACAGCTTGGAAACATTACCACAACCGGAAAAAAAAAATTTAGCTGATGGAAGGAAACATATTTTTTTCATGAATTTATGAAGGTTCATATTCAATCTCCACTTATTGCTTAGGGTTGAGTGTTTTTATCAGCAACCGAGCCTTGGAGATGTCTGGGAGCATCAAGAGACCTGGGCCCAAGACAGCCTCTCTTCCACTAAACTCCGATCCCATGGAGCCCTTGGATGAAGTATCAGTTGATTTCCTAGATCAGCTGGAAATGTGGAAATTAGAAGAACGCCTTGAAACTCATGAAGAGTCAGAACATGAAAAGGAAATAGATGATCTGTTTGACACGAAAGCACTTCACGAAAAGCTCCAACTGAAACATTTCAAGCTCATGAGCGTGCACGAAAGTGTAAAACAGCGTTTGCGCATGAGCAAAGTCATGTCATGGTACTGGCGGCTGAAGTATGAGGAGGAAAAGTCTAATAAAGGAAGCAGTGACTGGAGTAAGGCTTTACAAGAACAGCTCGAACAAACAGAGAAGCTCTACGAAAAGGAAAAACAAATTGCTGATCTGTGGCGCCGTATGAACGAGAACTCGAAGCTGAGAAAGGCTGTGGCTGGAGGCATCAAGATAGATACGTAAGTGCAGCTCAGCTGTGTTCAGTTGTCTTTGAAGGAATAGGGAAGGCGTGTCGATGTCAACTACTCAGTGTTTATTCAGCCCTGTGACCAGCGACTAGTAATGAGTTGTATTAAGCAAGACAGGAGTACATTTATATACAAAGGTCCAGTGTTGTCCAGGGTTTTTAGGAGAAAGTCATCAAGTAAATTTCTTTGCTCTCCAGACTTTTGGGCTTTTCACAAGGTGTATCAATAGAGCGCAATTCGAGAGAGTGTCGTAAAACTAAAGTGATCACAGCAGCCAATCAGAGCCCATATTTCAAGGAGCTAGCGAGAACCCAAAGTAAAAACAAGCTTAACTCTAACCCCTGAGAGTGACTAGCATCTAATTTCTCCCAACTATTTAACCCCTGCATCACACAGTAAGGTCATGAGAATAAAGGAAATGATCACCAACTAAATATTCTCTTGATTGATAAACAAATTCTCCTTGTCAGCACCTTAGGAATTGTGTAGGAAACAGTATGCATACTGATGTAAGGGTGTAAAGGGTTAATTATATTTGCGCAGTGTTGCTCTAACAAGGAAGCTACTTCAAAGGGTAACTCAATGATTCTGAAGTTGTCTTACGTTTATTGCAGGTACTGGAAGGATTATTTTCACCGTTGGAAAAGGAATGGGTTGAGAACCGTTAGCGTAAATACAAGTCAAAAGTTGTCAATTGAAACAGAAACGCCGGGACACGAAGACTCTGTAGGCACCATTGGTTCCAAAGGACTAGATATTAAGTCTCAAGGTAGAACCAAAGAGCATGCGTGGGACAACGTCTGGACGGACTTTAGAAAACGTTGGACAGTAGATTCGCATTTGAAGGGAGAAACGGATGCTAGTTGTCAGTCAAAGACTGGAAAGTGCACTTATCCCAGTGAAAGGAAGGAGTTAAGTGTTCTCCCTGAGGACCGCTCCATAATGTCATACTCTGCTTCTGTTATTGAGAAATTCTTGGATAGAACAGTCAAAAAATCCGTGCGAGATCCGATAACAACCGATAAAAATTTTGAAGATAAGAAAACTGAGAAGTCGCAGTCTTTAGACGGAGAAAGTAAAGGCCGCGATAGCCCCTCTGAAGAAATATGCAAAGATTTCCGTAAAATAAGTGTTCCTTTTGAAAATCCTCTATTTCCTAACGGAATTTTCCCTCTTGGCTACGGAACTCCGGAGTATTATTCAAACATAGATTTAGAAAGAAATGCGAACACCTTATCCCCTACAGTAACAACGCAGCAAAGAGACCTCCAAGTTATTTCGTACGTAGACAGTACAAGTGATGGAAATTGGATTCACGACGACGAATCCTATGCTAAGGAAGCGCCTAGCATACCAACTGAAGAAGATACTAAGTTACCAAGAAAATCGGAAGGAAATGTTGCGGGTTTTCATCTTGTAAAGTCATACGAAGCATCTGTTATGAAAAAAAGCGAAGAGGCCTCTAACGTCAAGAGAAAACGTCACAGTCGAAGTGGATACTTGAAGAAGAGAGGAAAGGGAAACCGAACTTCTGTTCAATCAGATGGAAACTTCCTCAGCAAAGAGAAGCAGCAGCTGAAAAATTTGACGCAGCTTCGTGGGCAAGAGATTCGCAAACAGAGGATTCTCCGGCGCGAGTTAAAAAAGAAAGAAAAGAAGGCTAAGCTGCGTGCTGAGGAGGCTGACCGCTTGGTGTCAGAGATGCGACGTGAAAGGCGCCGTTTGGAGAAAGAGAAGAAAAACCTGCGGCGCTCTTGGAAGGCACTTAAACGAGAGAAGAAAAGGATTTCTTCCGAAAAAGAACGTCATCGAAGAAACAGAACAGAGATGAACAATTTTTTTGTGGCACTGAAAAGAGAAAAGCAGAAATTGAAGAGAAAGAAAGTGGAGCTTAGGGAGAAAGTAAAAGAACTGTTGACCAAAGAGAGGAAAAAATTGAAGCTTAAAGAGAAAACTTTAAGTGCAGAAAAGAAGAAGGAAGTGGAGCGCCTTAGGAACAAAATTGTTCAAGAGAAGAACAAGCTGCGGCAACAGAAAGAAGAACTGAAGTCCTTGAAGAAAGCGGCAAAAGAAGAGTATAAAAAATGGTTAAACGAGCTCCGTAACATAAAAAGACAGGAGAAGGAGAAACAAAACGAAAAGGCGAGGAAGAAACGAGAAAAAGCTGATAGGCGGCATAAAAAAGAATATGATTCTGTTGTCAAAGAGCAAGCCAAGTTCGACAAAGAAAAGCGAAGGAAAAAGAAAGAAAACACTCGGCGTACAGTGGAGAGTAAAAAACTAAAAGATAAAGATGAACTAAGAAATGAATCCGTAGACGACAAAACTAATGGGCAAGATTTAAGAAAGACCGTGGAAAATGATGGATGGGTACCCAAAGAAGTTGAGATTGAGGCTAAGGAGGAAGAAAACTTACAGAGCAAAGACCTGCCCCGTAAGAGGAAAAATTTAGAAAGCAAGGAAAAGATTTGGAAGGTCAAAAAGGAGGGAAGGAAACGAACGGGAAAACGGGCCAACGAAAAACTGAGAATCAAAGTGGAAAAGGATGAGAAGAAAAGGAAGCGAAAAAAAGAATATGACTCTGTTATCGCTGAGCAAGTTGAATATGATAAAGAAAAACGGAGGGCAAAGGGAGAAGGTGCAAAGAGTAAATTTTCCAAACGAGAATGGAAGATGCGGTCTGATAACGTGAAAAAAGAAGCGTCACGTCCAAAAAATACCAAGGAAAAAAGAAAAACAAGCGATGGCGAGGGGTCCTTTAAAAAGCAGTTGGAGGGCATTCAGAAGTGGTTGTCCGATGTTCATAACAGTGCCATTGAACACCAACAAGGACAGGGTCATTGGCCGTGGACTGATGGCGAAGTGTCTTTTAGGAAAAAGTTAGAAGATGTTGGAAAGTGGTTAAGTGATGTTCCCAAGAAAGCTCTTGAACAGCCAGGAAAAACGATCAATTGGCCGTGGAGTTTGATAAAGCCATATTTTGATGCTGGAAGCAATGAAGGAAAGACTTCTGGAACACGCCACGACGCAGGAGATAGTAAAGAAAAAGAACTTAACATGCGTGATTTGAACTCGGCAAAGGCCAAGAGAACTATAGACACAGAGAAATCGACCGAAAGATGCGATTGGGAAAATGGAAGAGTCCAGGCAAAAGAAATATTTTCGAAGACTGAGAAGAAGGGAAATAAAAAAGAACGCAAGATGCCAGAAGAAGTTAAGAAGTCAGAAATAGCAGTGGTACCTGAGCATAAAGCGCTTGCTGGTTTTACAAACTTTACGTTCGACATGGATCTTATGTTGAGAATGTTGCTTAAGGGAGATGTTAAACCAAAACGCGCGGAAAAAACTTCGGATGATTCGGACAAAACCACAGAGACGGCCTTCGTCATAGTTTCTGAAGAATCGACTTACGATGTTGGAAAGAAGAAGTCACGACAAGGTCCGAAGAGTTCCGTTAAGAAACCGAAGCGAACCGATGAAAAGCCGAAACGGCCACGTGATAATAGGTGGTGGAAGGATAGGAATAGGAATACTGTGAAGCGTGGTGTTAAGTTACCGCAAGGTCCGATTTCTGGCGAAGATGGCCAAGTAAGGTCTGATTTTTCGTACGAAAAGGCGAATCATAGGAAAGTTTCCCTACATACATCTTCATCCGAAGGCCCAATTCCACCAAAAGATATTGGGTTGTCAGTTGAAGAGTGGTTGGAAAAGAGATTTAATCTGCCAAAAAATTCTCAGAAGAAGTTATCCCCTCAAGGACCGATTTTGTCCGACGAAGTGTATCGCACTCAGTCAAGCAAAGGAAAGAAAAGAAAGAATAGGCGAAATACCGACATGCAAGAAGACAAAGTAAGCAATTCCTTTGATTCCGAGACAGTTGAGTCCGTTCCACCTCCTAATTGGTTATTTGAGCGCGCCAAAGGTCGCACCCATCAGCGGTCTGAGCCGTGGTATGAGCGCCGAGCAGAAGATCGAGATTTCCAACGAAGCACCGACAAATACGAGTCCTGGTTTCCTTGTGATACGAAGCGCAAGCCTTACAAAGGTCCATTAGATCCGTCGTGGTTTTTCGATCGAGCGCACGATCGTGCCTTTCAGAGGTTGAACAATGTACCTTGGTATACCCGGCGTGCAAAAGGACGTGAAACTGAGCGTCAGAAGGGCGAAGATTCGTGGTTCATAGAGCGCGGATATTACAGGAAGGACTCGCGTGATATAAGTTCCTGGTACGGCGATCAGAATTGGATGCCACAGGGACCTTCCATGGAGGAACATCGCTAACAAAATGAGGTCATTCATCTTTTCCTTAGAATTTTTTTCAAACATGTTGACAATATAAACAATATACGTTCTCAGTAAGGTTATCACAAATGCTTGTAACATTATTTGGCTAAATTTTTTGCGACAGAGCATTCCTTCCCCTCCCCGAGAATTTTCTGGTGTTTTATGGAATGGTTTGCCTTTGGAAGATTTACAATCATTTTTCGGTTAAAACTAAAATAGTGGGAAAGTGCTCAGCTCTATTTAAAGACCTGAACCTCAATTGACTCCTGGTAACTCGAATCTCCTGCTAATCTGAACCAAAATTTAATTTGCCTGAATTAGATGTACAGATTAATCGCAACTTATTACATTGAAAAACTCAAAACCAGTAGAGTTCAAAATCCTGTCAACTCGGAAAGATTTTACTCTTCAGGTCCTTTACAATTTTACTCGCAATAACTCCAAATTTTGTCAAAGCACGGTACAAAATTTTGTGAGATCTGTTGCTTGGTTTGGTGAAGAAAGTCTTCCTCTATAATGAATGTAAAATACCACCATTTTGTTTTTTACTTGAATTGAACTTGTAAGGTTAAGTAATTTTTTGTCCAAAGTTTTCCCATTTGTTGTTTTTTTTTCCATACTCCGTATTTCTGATCTGATTCGAGTTATTGGGTCACCTATAGTATATAAATGTACTTTATTAAAACACTAATAGTTGTGTTTGGAATCATTAGGGCACCATTAATGCGAAAAACGCAGGGTGAGGCGCGTAGGTAATCTTTGAATGTTGCAGAAAAGTTTATAATTATAGTTAATGAGTTGCATTATAGTCAGCAGGGTTACAAAACCAGCTTTTTGCTTTGATATTAGTTATTTCTAAGCAAGATATTTATCTAAAGACTTTCATTGTTACAACTTAGAGCTTTCAGATCCGATCGATGTTAAGTCACGATCTTTGAGAACAGTCATTTAAGTGTGGTTATTTCGCAAAAAAATCTTGTTCAGTTTTCCATTGTGTTGTTCTTGCTGAAGAATTTGTCGCACTGTTTGTCTTTGGTGATTATGACAACGGCGCTTTAGCAGCGTGGCGTGTATTTTAGAAGCGTGACTTATGTGTGACAGGTAGCGTGTCAGTTACTGGGCCTAAATGAGGAAACAGAATATTTTGACACCAGAAAATAAGTGGGAAATAGTAGCCAGAATACTTTTACATCAGAAAATAAGTGGGTAATGGTATCCAGCGGCTCAGTTAGTCTTTTTTTTCTTTCAAAATTTAACGGTTTGCGTTTGTAACGTGGGGCACATATATCAGGTTAAGTAGATTGTAAAAATACCATAAGATGCTATGCTATTCTTTATAATCTTCAACAAATCTGTCACCAATGATGTAAAAGAACTGACAACACCCTTACTCACTATAGAAAACTTGGATTTTCGTCAAGTAGCTCTAAAAATTACAGGTCACCTTGCGGCATCTTTGTTTTTTTCTGTCGGTGTTGTCATCTCCGATCTTTCTTCTCGTCGTAAAACTTCCTCACATTAACCCCTGACGGGTTCTTTTCGACCCTTTCAATGTCCTACCAGTTACACTATTGTTTGCAAATGGTACGTGGTCTATTAAGGCCTTAATTTGAGTCAGTCGTAACGGGTTCTTTTTTGTATTTATTTCAATTTAAACTGGGGTATATTTGACCAATACCACCGTAAGTGCTTTCCATGGGCTGATATATATTTAATATTATTATCAAACACAAGAGTGGAAGAGTATTCAAGAATTCTGATACACAATAAATATTTTATTAAAAGGTGTATCTAGTCTAACTGTGCCTGGCAACCTACGTAGGAATCAACTCTCAACCCTTAAGTCCCTAGGAAAGATCACCATCTAATTTCTTCCAACAGTATCAACCCTGAATCAAACATCAAGGTACTGAGAATAAAGGAAATGATTGCGAATGCAAGAACTCGCATATTAGACAAATTCTACTTGTAATTTCCATGGGAAAAGCCCATGTCTATGATGTTGAGGTGAAAGGCGTTTAGTAAACACGCGCGAAGATTATTGTCCCCAACCAACGCCCAAGTATGAATCAAGACGTGGAAGAAAACCATATATATTTAATTGGTAGTCATGTGGGTATTATTGTCTCACAATTTCACAACGGTACAAACAACTAAGACGTTGCAAATGTCGGAAGTGAAATTTGCGTCGTATTGAAGGTTGCTATTTTATTTCGATTTTTCTACGCAGCTACAACGAACAAAACATGAACTTCTCTTATGGTTGACGATGCGAAGGTCTCGCGAACTTGATGGTTCTCACGCACAACGGAGGCGTAAGCGCAAGTAAAATACCTTAGAGGGAAGGTTAGAGAAGGGGAAATCCCTTACATAAATGTCATCGAGGGAATTTCGAACAAAGCTATTTAAAGGTCGAAAAACATCGGCCGGTGATGTGACGCAATGCCTTTCCTTTTTGAACATCATGCCTGAAAAATAATTTTGCCCCTGTAACACAACCGCAGGGAGAAAGTGAACCCCAGCGACTAGTGTTATAAATGGTATTCACGAAGCAGATTAAGGTGGAGACATGTAGCTACACCGATGATCATTGCCGAATAATGCATGCGCATGTTGCATGGTCTAGAGCAACAGAGCGGTCAAACGTTGGCCGCGCGTTAGTTTCCCGCGCAAAATTTCAAAGGAAACATATAAGGAACAAAGCGACATAAAATCGAAACGTTCACAGATATTTGTAAAAGGACCCAAATTCGGGAACAGAAAAACTCGAGAATTTTAAAAAACAAAGCTTACTCATTTACGGGTATCCTGTTGACATACTATTCTGTTTTGAGCTTCACCAACAAACCCAGAGGACATTCTTACTCTAAGACGAACAAATAATAGAGGATTTCGGTTTATGTCCATCTAGAAATTCAAATCTATGATTCCGGTTCCATTTCCGTGTTCTGATCCCCATCAAGCCCGTTTTCAGCGGGGCCTTGCTCTGAGGGCCGCGTTTCAGGTGTTTCATGTGCCTCTTCTCGCTGGATATCCTCCACCCGTGAAGCGGAAGTTGTTTCGTCCTCATGGAAGGTAGTCTCTAAATCTGCATCTCCTTTGTTGACAGAGATTGACAAGTCATTCTCTTTAATGCCTTTACTGACATTCGTATCTTGCACTGTGGGAAAGTTTTCTCGATTTTTAGCAACATCGCTGCTATTTTCAAGATTCGTTGTTGTTTCAGCATTTTCCATCTCAATATCTTCCTCTCTGGCATTCTTGTTCTCACAACCCATTCCTGCGCCATCAGCTGACTCCAAACTTCCGTCATTAGGTAACGAAACATCTACAGTTACGTCCACCTGATTATCAAACATTTCAATGTCATTTGCTTGCGCAGAAGAATCGTTCTCCACTCCAACATTTCCTGCTCTGCTGTCAGCGTCTTTGGCAGTCCCCACAACTTCATTAGATGGCGAGGGTTCCTCGATGACGGTTGTCTGGTCATCTATCAGGGAATAAAAACATGTAATCAACATTCAAGGTGGACACTATGAGTTTAGTTTTCTGTGGTTGTTCTGAAAAATACCCCGCTCACCATAGAGTCTCTGTGGCTCAGTAGTAGAGCATCGGAGCGCGGAATCCAAAGGTCTGAGGTTCGATTCCTCTAAGGACCTATAATTTTTTCTTTGTCTCATGAAAAGTATTTGTCTTTGTGGGTTCACCAATTCCAGGGTTTCTTTGAAATCATCTTAATGACAGATGGTTTGTTAGCTAAGTTGGTAGAGCGCTGCACCGGTATCACAGAGGTCATGGGTTCAAATCCCGTATGGGCCTGAATTCTCTTCAGGCCTTATTTTCACTACTACTAAGGTAGTGTTAATACCTGCAAGGATCGCTTCCATATTCGTTTCTTCAACCGCTGTTCACATATATGATTTTCATACATCTTCAGTCATTTATTCACCACTTCGGCCTTTGATTTCGACTTTCTAGGGCCTGAACCAGAAGGTTCTAACTGTAGTAAAATTTACTGGTATGTCCACAAAAAGTATGGTATTCTGTGACTTATCAAGAAAAAGTTGAAAATATTGGGATTCTAGACTCTTATTTGTTTGTTTGTCTATTTTTAGGGGTTTGGAATTTTTTCCAGAATTACCTCAGTCTGTGAAAAAAATACCCTCCGTCTGGGCCAATCAGCATTCAGTAATTTTTTACGTGAGTGACAAGGTAGTTCATAACTTGATTTGAAATCCCTTCAAGAATAAAACTTACTTATTTGAGTGTTTCCATGAGCAGTCTGGTTCTCCTGAGCAGCTCTGCGTTTTGCCAATGCCCTTTCTCTATTCAAACGCATCCGTTCTTGTTGTTCAGGAGTCAAAATGACCTTTAAGGTAGAAAATGAATAAGAAGTTTGCATTAAGCTAGTGTGCATCAGCTGAAAAACAAAGCTGAGGAAAATTGTCATAATGAAAAACAATTCTTAACTTACCATCCCGTTTCTTGGCTCAACTTGTACACCAAATGGTTGAACCTGAAATAATTAGAAAATGTTTCAAAAAAATGTTAATTACGTGTTGTAATTCATCCTTCGGAAATGTACTTTTTGGGTAATGTACAGAATACATTATGGAGAATATGCATACTGATGTTAGGGTGTAAAGGTTTGACTTGTAGAGGAGATAAAAAATGACAAATTGACCTTCTATACATACATTGTTTGAAACAGGAGTAGCAGGAACTTGTGACTGTGTTCCATCATCCCTGGATACCACTAATAATAAAAAAAATATTTTAATTTCCAAGTTATAGTCAGGAAGGCAAAGTCTGTACTGAAGCCAAGTGGCACATCCAACCAAAGCTTATCCTTGTTTCCAGAGCTGAGTATCACTATTTCCAACCCCTGCTTCCCAGGTCAGTCCCTAGCATTTCAACAGGCTTCCCTGATAGTTCACTGCTATCTATTTATATTCCTGGGTCCTGGGTGGAGAGAGGCATGGGGAGAGTAAAGTGTTTCACTGCAGAACAAACATAGTTAAACTCCCCCCCCAGGTCTCTAACCCAGACTTCTCTCCCCAGAGCCCAGTGGACTAACCACCCAAACACTTTGTCTCCCACTGACAAATTAAAACATGACAATAATTAGAAAGTTTTATGTATCATCCAGAATAATCAATGTCTGACTTGTCTGAAGCAGATATTTAGCTTTGTCACACAACACAGGAGAGTATGAGCTGTGTGACAAGACTGAGCTATAACCATAAAGGAGATCAGAGTAAAAGTCCTTGGGCAAAACGTGTTAATTCCTTGGTAGAGGAATATTGAATAAAGTGTTTAGTACAAGGTAATAATGCTCATACCGCTCTCTTGTGCATCAAGCTCTGTATCTGATTTTTCTCCATCATCAATTGTGTCATGTTCACCTCGCCTGACTCTCTTGATACAGTTCTACAGTTAATGACAAAACATGTTCCTTTTGATAAATCAGCAACTCAGATGAATAAGCTCTTAATTGTTAAACAAACTCTCCTTGTCAGAACCACAAGAACTGTACAGAGAACAGAGTGGAGACTATGCATAACTGTGATCACCAAAACCCTAGTTGTGAAAACCTCACCAGTCAAAAAGCATGTAGACATACCATTGGTTTGTACTGAACATTTCAATGGCTAGATTAACAAAGTACTACAATCTATCATATCAGTTTTGCACTCTGGTTAATTTTAATGATCTAAGTATCCCTGGTACCATTTGAAAGACAGACTTACCAGTAAGTATTGTTACTTGGTAGGAGGGAGGGTGGTTTGCATTAAAGGTTGGCTGCTATTTCCAATTCATTAAGGTTACATACCAGCACAACCTCTGACCTGTGACCTCATATTCCCATTTCAAATGAGGGCAGATTTAGAGACAAGATAAAGATGAACTTTTCTTCTGATCCTGGAAAGTGAGACTATATTTATAAATTCTTACTTGAACTAGCTTTTTACTGCCCAACTTTTCCACTTGATCAACAACATCTGCAAAGGGAAACTTGGGAAACAAGCGATGTGCCCAGTATTCATAACGCTGCAACAGTAGCTTCAGATCCGAGGCCTGAAAGAACCAAGGGCTCTAAGTTGACTAAAATAAACTTGCTCATAGTTTAAAGGTAAAAGATGAAGTCTGTACTCAAGCCAAGTGGCTCATCCAGCTGAAACTTATTCTAGTTTCCTTAGCATGAAGCCACGAGGAGTATCACTACTCCCTCCTGGATGGGATGCCAGTCCATGCAAGGTTACCCCCTGACAATTCCCTGATACCCATTTATTCTCTTGGGCAGAGAGAGGAACTGTGAAAGTAAAAGGGTTTGACCTAAGAACAGAACATAATGACTCAGCAAGGTCTGAAACCCAAGCCTCTTGACCTCAAGTTCAACACACAAACCATTTGGCCAGTGTCTCCCACTTTATAGTTTATACTGACTAGTTTTTTCTCAAAGAAAATTGATATTCATCTTGTCACAAGTATGGAACAAAGAAAAAAACTTAAATTCCTATGAGGAATCATCCTAGCATTTCTGCACTCAGTGCTCCAATACTCTACCACTCTTGCAGATCATAAGTTTATGGATCATATGTACCTCGTGGCCTTTCCCTTTGAACTTGACTCCATCACAAAGGTGGGTTAAAGCTGGAAGACCACGGTCACTGCACAACCTGTGAAAAAAAAATTAATATTTGTTAGGCTCCAATAAAAATCCAAAATTAACAGCCACAAAGGTTGAAATGTTTTGTTTCCTCTGGTAGAGGCTACTTAGAAGATTTCAATAATTATTAAATCAAAAACAAATAATAACCCTTTAAACTGCAAGAGTGAGCAGCATCTTGTTTTGCCTTTCAGTATGCTGGCTCATGCATTAAGATCATGAGGATAAATGAAATGATTGTTAATCTAAGAAGTTCTTTGATTGTTCAAAAAATTCTCCTCATCAGTACCCATGGAAATGTATTAGTTTTCTGTTTCTGATTTCATTCAGTTACACACAGTTCAACTAAACATGTATTGCTGGTGTGGATGGGGTATTTGTCACTCATGGCCATATACACCAGTGTGTATAAGTTCTTTATCTGTCTCCAGAGTATGGCGTGCATGCAATTATTTCCCTTCTTACTGTACATGTTACACTTAAGATTCGTCTTTACACATGTAAAATGTTGTTGAGTTTTGCCATACTCTACATACTGGGTTCTTCAAAAGGTCACTTGCAGCACATGAAGGCAATCAAATTGTGACAGTTCGATTATCAAATAAATCAAGTTTCAAGTTCCTCAGCTTTACAATGCAAAATTCTTCTGCTTTATATGTAGTGGGATACAACAAGGGGTTAATGAAAAAAATTGGACTACATTCATTCATGCTCCATGTCTTCATATTGCCTTAGCTCCAATTAATTATCGGCGTATCGTATTTTCTATTCTGAGATACTTGTCAAATATTTCAGATATCAAAGAAATGTGAGGAGCATTTTACAAGAGCGTGGGTCAAATGAAATAATCCGAGAGCCCTGTGAGAATTCGATCCTGGTCAATTGCGATTTCACGGTGGGCTGATCTATTAACGGAATTGCAAAGAACTTGATGGCGAGTCAATCTATTCTCTTTGTTCATTTTAGTGTATTTTTTCTACCTGATTTCGTCTAGCTTCGGCCTCGGCGATCTCTTTACTTTCCGCTTCGCGTTTGACTCTTTCTTGCCTCCTTCCCCTTCATCCGGCTGATCTCCATCTGCGTCGCCATTTTGGTTCATTTCGTCTTCGTCGCGATGAGGAGAAAGCGGTGGTAAAGGAGGTGGCAAATCAAAAGGATCATCTTCATCAAACGGAGCAGGTTCGTCTCTTGCAGATTCATCGACCACAGAAGAAATCGCTGCTGCAGACGACATTTTTTTCTCTTCCGAACAACCGATCAGCCAGAAGCACAACCTTTACTATAATAGTTCCCGCCAAAATTGTGATCCGCTGACCGGGTAAACCTCTCATGTCGCCCGAAAGTCATCTCACCTGAAGTAGTAACTACTATCTCCTAGGAGCGTTAGTCATTTCGCCCCAAGTCCCGAGTAATGTCGCCGAAGGCCTTATTGTGAGTTAACAAAAGAAAAAACTTACGTTTAGGATCAGGCTTATACGCTTAAAATTTGCTGAGAAATCTTTATCACTCAAATAGAGTTCCATGAAAGAAATCGAATCGAAAAGAACCAAAGATTCGTATCGAACGCGACCTTCGTTGGAGACCATGAAGAATTTGACTACACAGAAAACGTTTAAATGGTGTGAATTGAAATACATGACCACAATTACATCAAATCCGTGTACACCGAGACAACAGTATTCTCTATATGTTACAGTGACGACTCTAGAAGCGTCGCTCGTTTCTAACCACCAATTACAAGTAAGGGCCTGTTTACACGGAGGTGGGGGACCCCAGGTAGGTGAGGTAGCCCGTGGTCGAAAAATAAAACGCGTTTACATGCAATCTTACAACCCTGGGGTGCTGGGGTGAGGTTTCTCGAGGTTGTTGTTGCGCTTACAATTAAAGAGTTTTAGCAGAGGCGTTCCAAGCTCACATCTCGAAAAAGACGAAAGACTAATTCTCGGACACATATGTATTTATTCATGAAAGTGTCACGCGTTGTGTTACGCGGTGTTTGCTTTCGCGAGGAACTGTTGACTTACTACGTTATACGGAATAGTTTGGGAAACCAAATATGGTCGATTTACAACGCTAAATATTCCGAAATGTGAACACTTTACACTCCTTGTGTGTCCGTTGCAGTTTTCTGGTGATTTCTGCCATGAGACGGCTAGGAAATGTGCAAAGTTTTAAAACATACATGTTTCGCTTTTGAGCTTTTTGCCATGAACGCGACCCCGGGTCGGTGGGTTACCCCACCTTGCATTGACACGTTTACATGGCAAATTGTCACCCCGGCTGACAGGGTTACCCTGCCTGGCAGACTGGGCAACCCGCCCAGGCGGGTCACCCCACCTATCATGTAAATGTGATCAAAATAAAATAAGAAATTATATGAACAGGCGGGTTACCTCACCTACCTGGGGTCCCCCACCTCCATGTAAACAAGCCCTAAACTGTTGTTCGTTTCTAAAAACCAAAAGTTCCAAAAGCTGTCTTGAAGGCTAGCAGCAGCTAATTTACCGATCTAGAAGACTTTTCTCTTCAGATCTACGCAAGGCTTTGGAGATATTCACTTAGGAAATACAAGGCTATCACGGAAGGACAATTTTCAAGGAAAGCGCGCAGTTGAAATCGCGTTGAAGGGAAGAAAGTAATTTTTTATATATTTTTAGGGGTTTTATGTCTCGACATGAAAAGGCACAGGAGTAAAGGAAACACATACACAAAGAGAACGGTGAATTGGTTTAAGATATGGGATCAAGGTTTATCTTTAATCAGCACGATCTCAACAAGTACAGTGAACTTTTGAGTCACACAATTTCCTTCTTTTCATGAGAGCAGCGGGAAATGTCAGTTTTCCTGTAGGATGGTCAGCTCAATGTACTTGATGCCTTCTTTTTCATTTGTGTCATCGCCATAGATCTCCAAGAACAGGCCATTTTCAGGATTCAGCTTGTTTTGATAAATCATCTCTCTGCTAAAGCCGCCATCGTGCGAGATGAAACAGGTTCCCCACCTGTCAGACAGGCTCAGATGGATGTCGAATCTTCCTGGGTAATAGGATTCGGAGGGCTTTGGGAGAGGGCTATCTACATTACGCTTCGTTATTGTTAGCCCGCTATCTCCTTCGATACCACTACATGGACTATAAGATGCGTAATTCAATTTATCAGTTGTTAGCACACCAATGAAGCGATTACTATCAGAAACAGCGAAAGAGGGGTCACTTTCTGCTTGGCCATATTTTGTTTCTAAAGCAACCGCCATCTTGACGACAAGTTTAGCATCTGCGTCAATGACTCCAGGAGGAATCAGAGGAACAATCATCAGACGATAGAGGTGGCTTGGAGCGCTAAGAAAGGTGAGAAGACGAGGAGTGATGGAGTTGTGGTGATGGATGAACGAGGCCTCTGCTATCAGCTTCATGGGTGTGAAGAATTTGTAATATACAAGCTGTTCATCAAAAAATGAAAGACACAAAAGTGAACCATAAGAAAAATAGCTGAAGTAACCTGCAGAGGTTTACTAATCTTAAAAGTCTTGAAGAACATTTCATTATGTGTTCGATACTCCTTAGGAGAGGCAACATATAAACAACTCACGAAAGGAAATCCAGAAAAGCTCTGATAAAAACCTCTTTTAGGTGAATCGCGAAATCAAAATGATGGGCTTTAAGTACATGCGATGGAATTCTTTTTGGGTAAATCGGTCGATCTGTTCAACAGAGAAGAAGCATTGAATGATCCTGAATATTACGTGTCAATAGATACAGTCGACAGACTTTCTGCATGTGTCAGTAGACCGTATTATTTCGACTCTACCAAAGTCAAAGAGACAGAAGAGAGAATCATTACCTGTGGTTGTTTCCTCGTGTTTTGAGGCTCAAGATCGCGTCCCCATCCCAACGATACAGCAAACATCAACAACATGACTTTGACGATCTTCATTTCTTAAGTAATTAGGTTAACTGCGCGGGTACAAAAACTGCGACGGAATGAAAACTGACTTTGATGAAGACATTCTAATTCTTTTTGTTATCTAGAAACCTGGAAAACTTCGCGCGTTTGCGACTCGATTAGACAATACAATCAGACAGACAATTACTCAAAGGCTAAACACTTTAAATACATAGAAACAGCCTACGTGTAGCCTTACGGGGAAGGGTCTGGCTACACGTAGGCTGATAAAAACAATGAGTGATCGCGTCCGGCAATCCTACTCCTCGAACAAACCTGGCTGAAGAAACTGGAAACCTGTAATTCGTTATTTACACAAAAAACGAAAAATAAGTCACCTTTTTCTTCGGTCTCTCTCGCCTACATGCTAAACTTATTAAAAATTATTTAAAAATTAAAATTGAAGTAAACTTGACAGAGTGATCTGAGAATGCGTTTGCTAAAGAACAGTAAAGAACAATGACAATAGTTGGTGGGTATTACGCTCATCGTTTTTCTCTTGTTGCCATAATTTGGACTAAACAGTTCCAGCATTAAATGTATTGTACGTACTCCTATGACAAAACAGTTTTTTTTCTTATGTCAATAATATCGGGTAATCCTGAATTAGTTTTGTTTGTTTATTTCGATCTGAGATTACTCCAGAAAACTCGTCACTTTCTCAGATGCAAAACTAAAACCAACCGCGACATGCTCAAGTACTCTCCTTTTCACGTACTTCAGAGAGTTTGCTTCTTTTTCTACCTTGAGTTCTCAGTAACTTCTTATCATGTTTTCTTTGCTCTGATCAGAAATGACCATGCTATGGTTTAACAATAATTATTATGAAATAATTCAAATAGCACGCGCGCTCTGATCGCACTCGATAAGCTGGAAACCACTCGGCTTCGCGTCGTGGTTTCCTACGCTTATCTTGTGTTCTCCCAACCTCCTGCGTGTTTACATCAGGCTATGTAAACACGGAAACCATTTTAAATTTCTTCAATAACATTTAGCAAAGATAACAATTGAAAATAGTTGAAAATGCTAAAACTCAGTACTAAAAAACTGCTTTAATTTCACAATTTACGAAAACTCTTTACCTTCACTTTATAATGTTATAAAATGTCCTTAATTACATTTCTACATTAAAATACAGCTACCTAAAGGAACAAATAAAATTAATGAAAAGAAAGAAAAAAAAAAGAAATGGAACATCTTTGCTTTTTCAAGTATTAGAATTCCAAAATAATTTTCTATCACACAGTTTCAAAGAATGTGCATATCTGTGAAGCATCGGGTTGCAAATATTACTTTCTTTATAGCACATGTGTCAATCTATCCTATCTGTATTGGGTGGACTGCTCAGACAATCAATCAAATGAATTTTTTTTAAAGGTATGTGATAATCCAACAAATTTCATTCAATCTTGAATAGATCAGTAATAAAAAGGTGAATATGCAAAATCTGATGCAAACTTGAATTTTTCATTCCTCTAAATATATGTAATAAATATGTGATAATTCAACAAATTTCATTCAATCTTGAATAGATCAGTAATAAAAAGGTGAATATGCAAAATCTGATGCAAACTTGAATTTTTCATTCCTCTAAATATTAGTAATAATGATTGTTATAAAACCATGATTTTCAGGTGTACAATATGCGTAAAATAGACTATTTTTGAAGATATCATACTAAAATTGATAAATGTAGGTATTGAATAATGATAATTTAATATAAATTAGAAAAATTTTTCTAAGAAATAGTTATCTACCCAAGAACAAAATTTCACGTATTTTGTACAATGCAAAACATAATTCACAAACCATTGGTTCAGAAATTCCCACATATATATTTTTCTGTTCTTCCCTCTCTCTATCTATTTATCAGTCAGTCGTCATCCAGTAATCCAGTCAGTCAGTCAGTCAGTCCTTTTAATGATTAGTCAGTCAATCATTCAGTTGGCCAGCAGGTCTTCATTCTGTCTGGCTATCAGGTTACTAATCAGATTTAATGTTTCTCAAATTTGATTTCCATTGACTGCATCAGGGCCTGTCTCATGTTTAAATGTTTTCAGCTCAACCTAAAAGCAAAATAAATGCAAATAAAATATTTCATATTTGCTTAACTTGCTGCATTGCACATCTGTCACCTATTAAAAATTGTCAACATGGGCCAAAATATTCATTTCAGATAATGTTTTCATTTAAAATTATTTTTACCAATACCTCTAACTGTTCACACTTGGATTTCAGCTGTTCAAGTTCTTCTTTTAGCTCACTGTTTTCCTTCTCCAAGACTTCAATCTTCCTGTCTGCTTGTATTTGCACAGACAAAACTATACCTGTTGAAATTTCCCCACTCAATGTTACATGACTGTATAACATTCTTGGGACTGACTGACAAACAAAACTTTAAGAGCCCTGCTTTGAACATGTGGATTTGTTTAAACACTTTACACCCTAACATCAGTATGCACATTCTCCATTTATTTCCTAAAGCGCTGACTGTAACTGTTTCCATGAAATCTAAATGTTACTGCTGCCAACAAAAGCTGCAAAATATTTTCTGATTAGATTGACGCCACTGTGATAAGTACTTTTTAGATAATAAATTATAATTAGCGTTTCAATTCAGGATAAGATCATCAAGATCATTTCTGGAGTGGAAGACAAGTTCAGACTTTAATTTTCAATTAAGTAATCAAGACCCGCCAACATTGCTATAAGCAGCAACTTACTTTTCAATTAAGTTACCTAGGTGTGATTAAAAATGAAACTTATCAGTAGTCTTTACCTTCTTTTTGGTTTCTTTAATTGCAACAAGCTTGTTTCCAAAGTTGAGATTATTTTTGAGGCTATGATTGCTCAATACTTTCATTGGTTATTTCTTCATGTAATAATTTCAGTTGACAATTTTAATATAGGATTGCACCAAGGAAAAGGAAAAAGAATAAAGAAAGAAAGACCCTTTATAGGTTTAGTGTCTATAGTATGCCAGTGTATCAACCCAAGAACTAAGATTCAACTCTAGCTTGAAAAGAAACATTTATACTGACTAGGAAAATTTTGTTCAACAATCAAGACTTTCTTTGTTGTGATCATTTCTTTTCTTCTCAAGACCTTAATGTATCAGCACCTTAGGAAATTTAAAGAGAACAGTATGGAGAATATGCATACTTATGTTATGGGTTAATATAAAATGGATAATTTTTGATAATTATACATGTATGTAGAACAACACAATGGGTGCCCTCAGATTCTTGTAGGATGCTTTTGTACCAATTTATTAATTTTATACAAAGTAAAACATTACCATTGACAATTCTTGTGACTCTCCAAAGCCGAAGGAGAACAATAAGACCTATTCCATCAACAGCTCCCTCCTTTCCACTGTAACAATAAGATTTAAGCAGACATCAACTTATCTCAATCCATCCAATCCGTGTCAAAGCAAAACAAAGTTATTTAGCGTAACATGAATCCAGCACAACACATGATAATACAGCCGACACAATGGTATTGGTCTAGAAACTTAAAACAAAACAATAACCAGCCCTAGACTTAATCCACAAACCTGAAAGCAATATCCAAGGCAAACGATACTGTAACTACAATTCCATCAAATATCTAGAAAATAATCATGATAAATTTGCTATAATTTTCAATAAATTCTCATCACTTTCAACTATTTGTATACTTTAGATCAAGACCTATTTCAGAGGAACCTATATCTCAATGACTCCATATTTCACTGACTTCTGGTATGAAGCAAGTGCTGGTCTAAATCCCAGTTTTCTCCCCCATATTTCCTGCAACCTGAACTTGTATTCATGCATACCCCTTCTGAGCAGCCACAAAAACCATCATTAAGTGTATGTGTGACCAGGAGGGAAAAGGGGAGAATTAACAACCCAATCTTGGGAGGAAAAGGGTTAATTATCAATGAGCCTTAAAACTGACTCTGTTCTAATTGGGGTATGACAAATGATTATTATGGACTGGACAAAATTTTCCTTTTGAGGGAGCAGCAAGGCTGGTGCAAAAATGGGGGCCGATCACTAATCTAATGCAGGATCAACGGGGGAAGGGAAGGGTATATAAAATTTATGCAAGTAATAAAGCACCATCCACCAGTTAATTATGACCCCTTTCTTGATTGGCAAAATTTATTAAGCCATTTAAGCCTCTATCAAGTGGAAACCATGCATCAAGCAGGCACAAGCAACAATTTTTCAATTGCCTGTTTGATACATACAGGTTTCCAATGAATGTAAATGCACAAACCTCCATTTTGTGTTTGAAAAATGTGAGTCCCATAGCATAGATCTTTACAAACAACTAAACAGAGAAAAAGAAGAAAGAACTTACAATCAATCATTTTTACGTCATAAATTTTTGTGTATCAAAATTAATTATTTTAATCCTCTAACTCTCAGAAGTGATTTATATCTGACTTCTCCTCCTGATGTGAAATCCTTATCCTGCAAACAAGCATTAAGAACAGACCAATTCATCAGCTAAAGGGTGATGTTAAAGAAAACATATGCAGAGCATTAAAGAACACTGAGGTTATGAGTAGTTTAATAATCTTAATAATACCTCAATCATGAAGATTGAAAGGATGGCAATACTGGTGTAATGCAGGATATGTGGTGCATGACTCTCATGGTGAACTGTAACAAAAAGTAATATTCCGTGTATGGGTCAACAACATAAATATTCATTTATTTAACAAAACAGTTGAATCTGTAATAAGCGGTCACCCATGAGGAATGGTAAGGTGACTGTGTAATACAGGTTGACTTGCATGATGTTTATGTGTAATATTTGTCCTAATAGTTCAAAGAAGAAAAACAATCTGCATATGTTGAGGGTATTTGAACTCAAAGTACTAACACTGATTCCATGACATAAAATGGAATAAACTATATAATGGAAATTGTTCCTAATTTTATTTTATCAGTGGTTCCATTTTAAATGAATATTCTATTCAAGTGGAAGACAAAACAAATAGACTGTTGTGACCTCCTAATTGGGGGACGACTGACCACTTGATACAGGGTGACTGCTCAACACTTTTACTCCCATGATCTCACAAGTAATTTCTCCTTACTGTCTACCAAATGATTCTTATTATGTTAGTTTGGAGAATTTGTTATTAGATCATTTAGTACTCCTATGATTGATAATTTTCTTTATTCTCATCACTTGTCTGCATGATATTGTATAGATATAGTAAGGAGAAATTCTGTCTCAGTCACTCATGGGAGTTAAAGGGTTAATACTGTGCAGCTTAATACAGGTTTGACTGCACTTACATAAACACATTAACACTAACAGCAAAGGCACAAGGTGTATTCTATGGTTAGCAAGCAAAATTGTGATTGACACAGATCGGTGAAAATGCTTGATCTTGATCTTGAAAATGAATTGATCTTGTGAAAAGAAATATGTGTTTGGTCACTCCTAGGAGTGAAAGGGTTAACTGTTAAAAGAAAGCACTTCACTTTTTCCTGTAATTTTACACTACTCGATCGCTAAACAACTGTCACAAGTAAGCGGAAGTCTTCTCACCCAAACAAAGCACTGTGGTAACAATTCAATCGATGTTTTAAAAAGCTATTTTTTTTCTACCAAGGCATTAAATAAAAATCAAAACAGATGAAAACACCATCGTCGATTGATAAGTGCCTACCTTCAACTGCTTTCAAGTCAATGAGTAATTCCGCAATAACAATGATCATATCCACGACAACCAATGTTATGATGACATATTGAGCCCTTCTGCTGTGAAGAATTTCACAAAGTTGTTCTCTGTGATCGTTACAAGGCCTACAGATGAAAACAACACACTCTTCAAAAAATTTCATTCAATTGAAATAACAGATCTTATGTATTGCGATGATCATGCGACAGCATCATAAAAGCTGGATTGTAGAAATCAGACGCGACGTTTAATTCCGTTTGAATTCCATTATCAGCACCACTGATAAATTTCAGACCAAAGTGCAAATTGCTAAGCTGAAGTCACCTTTCGTCTTCATTTTCTGTCAGGTTTACTGCACTCTCTGTCACCGCAATGTTATTAGAAGCTTGATCCATCTTGTTCAGGGTAATATTAAGATCTGAAAGTGTATCAACAAGTCGCTGATCATCGGGTCCATACATCGACGAAGTTACTCAAGCATGCAAAGTATTAAATGATAAGGTCACGCAATGTAACTGTTGTGTCCTTCCCCCGGAAGTACTCCAGTCTCTGGCTGACTGGTTTGTTAAATGTTTTGTAACAGGTGGTTCTTCTTGAGTTAAGATCGACGTGGAGTAATTCCGTATCTTGTAATAATTAATCCTTACAAATAAGTCAAATGTGTTAACTTTGACACCTGTAAATCTGCAAGGCGTTCCTTCGGGTTTTACGAGGGAGACTAGGAACCAGTTAATGACGGCGCTCGAAAACAAACATGGCGGAGAGAGGCGGTGTATCGCAAAGTGTCTGAGTTGTACGGAAGCTCGACATGTTGGCGTTATAAATCCCTCACATCTCTTATTCCAGAATGGCTTCATTTGAAGAATTTGAGGTTTGTTGTATTTCAGTTATACAGGGCTTTATTAGAGACTTAAAAAGCTTGTAGAGATGAATTTACTGAGTGTGTCACCAACTTCCTCCGATCTTGAATATCAAAAGGTTTCTTTTTAAGCAAATGATCTCTCAAACTGCCCTTTAGAAAAGTGTTTCCTTTTTTTGCATTCAATATTTAGATTATAAGAGTAGGTTTTGCTTATTCTTGTTGGACTGAAAAGGAGGTAAACTGATTGTTTCATATTAATCTTCAATATAATATTAAATTAAATAATTTAAGAAAATTAGCGACTTTTTTTAATTAGCATTCGAAACTTTCCTTGTAATTGCATGCATTGTTTTGTTTCTATTGTTTGTTTTGTCCAATCAGCATTTTGTTATACACTTGAAATTCAACCTTGTACCTAGTATAAATCAAAATTGAAGATGACTGAAGAACTGTCGAAACATGTTTTAAAAAAATGCCACATGTTTTCTTAAATTCGTGGCATATCTGCTACTATCCAGATCTTTTTGTAAAGGAAATAACTTGTTTGACCCCAATCCAAGACTTTGTAGAACTTTACTGATTAACAAAAAGATTCCATGTCACTGTGAGTCTGTTCAGTAAAAGATTACAGATAACATCAAATGTGGTAAGAACAGAAAAAGTGGCACTTGAGGTGGAGCCAAGTTTGTCAATGATGCTCTGACTACTACATTTTGACGTCATCTGCGATCTACTACTGTACAGACCCACTGCAACCTGGAATCTATTTGTTTTATGTGACTACAAACCAAAATTTTGTTGAGGGTGATGTCATCTGTGCATCTGTCTGCGAATATATAGACCTGTACTTATCATATATTGATCACTTCAAATTTACAAGAAGGTCATTTAAGTGATATTCATTTTGTTGACAAATCTTTTAAACAACCAAACATTTAATGTTTACACTGTATCTTGCTATCAACCATAATACTATCCATGAAAAAATAATGCACATCTGAATGGCTGAAAATGAGTGCATTTTTTATGTAACATGGGTGCAAAGTTGTGACACAATTACAAATTGCAAAAAGCACACACTGTCGAAATTATAAATTTTTCAAAGAATACAAATTGCATTCACCCTATGGGCACATTTAACTTTTTTGTCTGTGATAAATTTACACATGCTTATTAACACCAAATTACGCTGTCTCGAAGTTGTATTATAATCTATAGTGACTTACTGGCATTTGTCAGATGTGAGTTATCAGTCTAGTTCATATGCACTGTGACCTCTACTGCTTCAATGCAAACAATAGGGGGAGTTTGATGCTTATGAGTATGTGGAACGTCTGGCAAGCACTGTGGATGGTGGAGGGTCAAAAGGTGGAGCTGGAGCTTTTGATCCCAGAACTTTGTGTGACGTGTTTGAAAAAACTATCAAAGAACTGACAGCTCTAGATGAGAAGATGCAGGGAAGAATTAACAAACTTGAAGAACTCTGTGGGAAAGAACAGGAACAACATAAACAGAAATCTCGAGAACTGGAATCAACTTTTAAGGTACTTGTTAACCATTTAACTTCTAAGAGTGATTGGCTTCTAATTTCTCCTTACAGTTTCAACTTTGAATCAATTGTAATGCCAAGAGAATAAAGGAAATGATCACCATTTCAAGAAGTTCTTGATTGTCAAGCAAAATTAATTTCTTTGTCAGTGCCATAGGAAATGTAAAGAGAACAGTGTGGAGAATATAAATACCAATGTAAAGTTTAAAAGTGTTAAGGTGAAGTTTGTTACCTTTTATTTATTCTGATTATGAAGTCGCATATCAGGAGGGTCGGTTTGAGCGGTGATTGAAATGAAGGAGTTTGCTTCATGTTGGTAGCTGTGTGGTATTTTAGTGCCATTACATTGTAGCCTATTCTTTAAAATGATAAACTGCCAACAATAGAAAAACAAAAGGTCTAAAAGCTTCTGCATGCACATGTGATTTTTTGACGTGCACAATTTTTTTAATTTGCAATTGCATGTGATTTTTGGTGCATATATGTTGTGGTTCAATTTTATCCTTGGTTCAAATTTTATTTTCCTTTGTTTCAAACTCATTATCATACAATACAACACCCAAAAACAAAAGAAACATAAAATTTGAACCAAGGATAAAATTGAACCACAACAAATATGTAGGCAGTATGGTCTAGATATCGAACTGTTCTTCTGACTGTGTATGATATATTTTGTTTAAATATTCCAGGGTAAAATTAGATTTAAAACTATTCTGAATTGTGAGCTTTGATAATGAGACTTTATTCATATATCATTAACTTTTCTTGTAGACTGCATCTTCCCTCTTTCAAGAATTGGATGACCGAATAAACTATGTGGCTACCAAAGTGGTTCATCTGGGAGACCAGTTGGAAGGAATCAACACTCCAAGGTCCAGAGCGATTGAGGCTCAAGAACTCATGAAATATTTTGATGAGTTTGCTACAGGAAAACATGTTTCAACTGTGTTTAGTGACCAGTTTAGGGTAAGAGGTTATTGGATTATTAGATTCTGAGCAGTGGAGTGCTTGTAACAACTGTGTTGCATGGAATTTAAGGAGTTTTCATTTTTGCAGACAGCCCTTGATGGCAGAAAAATAAGCTCCATGAGAAAAAAATAGATCCCACAGAGTGATACACTGTAACTCTAGTAGCAAATCAACACTTAACTTTTTTCCTTTTTTGCTTCAGATTCATGAAGCAGCAAACATCATACAAAAGCTGTCACTTATTGCCCACGAACTTCCTGCTGAGAGGTAGGACAAGTGATGTACTTTTAATTTCTTTATATAATTAATGATACAAGGGGTTAGAAATAGCACCTTTGAAAGCATGACAGAGATGAGTCAGTTTGAAATAATTATTCCTTCAATAAAGTTTTAATTTAAGTTCTACTCTGCTTGAGATTTTGAGTGTGATCATACCAAGAGATGAAAAATGCCTACATTGTTTTTAAAGAAATGGAAAGCGACCACACTAAGTACAATTTATTTGGTTTTAGGTTTGAAGATGTCCAAAAAAGAATCAAAGGTAGGTATGCAATGTAGGCTTTAATATACAATACAACTGCCACTGTACTTGAACATATGACCTGGGCTGTTACTCATATAAGATGCAAGTTTATGGCATTTACTTGTTTTTAAGTCTGCTTGTTAGTAGGGAGATCCTGTAACTGTAGTTCCATACTTTTCATTAGTGTTCTGATTAATTGAAATATAGCAGTGGCAAACTGTAATGATTAAGAAATTAGAAAAGGAATATTTACTTATTCTGAAGTTGTTTTCTTTGTAAACAACTTCTAACTTAGATATGTTTGAGTATGCTCAGTACCTGTTTCCTGGATAATTTATGGATATTGTGGGAAGCAGTTTACTTGTTTAGCACTTCAGGGTGTTGAAGTGTTAAGTAACTATGGGTTTATCCATACAGACTGCCATGATAAAGTGGAAGTCGCTTTGATTGAAGAATTTGAAGAAGCCCATCATCAGGGAAATATCAGTGGTATGAGAGATTGTGCAGAGACATTGCTTCCCTTCAAGGTGAGTAGTGAGTCAGCTGCTGGCTATTCAATCATTGTTTATTCTTGTGGTTGTTGGTTGTTTAGTTACTGGTGGCTCAAGGACTTGATTGTTTCAGTCCTTGATGATCATTTGGTGCTAATCATGTCATTTAAAGACACTCTTTGAGAAAGGCTTAGTGATATAAAAACCTGACATATATTGCTGAGTGACATTTTTTTCTTAATAATGAATTACTTTTCCACAGGGCTACTCTCACTGCATTGATTCCTTTATCAAACAAAGTCAGAAGGTAAAGTATATTACCTCCTGACCAGTATATATGGCTTTTATTCATAGTCAGTTATAGACAAGTGCATTTACAAAATCACCATGTCAGAAGATCGCCTTTAATTTTTTTGTGAAAGGCTGGTGAGAGAAAGAAATTTGTACCAAAGTGGTCAGGGGTGGTTAAAAGAAAGGGGAGGGGGTGGTGAAATCTTTTCATTTTTCCCCCCCCCCCCCCCCACACCATCCACTACAACCCTATATCTAACACGGCCGACCCGAAAAAGAATCACGAGCTTGTAACGCTAACATGACTGCACTACAGGCTAGAAAGTATCCTCCCTAAGAATCTAACTGAAGGGAAATGAAAATGAAAAGAACAGTTTAAGGAAAGTATCTATCAGGTCATTTCTTTTTTTTTTTTTTTTTTTTTTTTTTCCCATGTGTTATCATGATACTCATGTTATTTTGTTCCACTAAAGGGTCAGTTCCTGTCTTCTGATGTATTTCAAGATGTGATACCGCTCTGTGAACGGGTTCATAGCATGGTTAACAAAGTTTTTAGCAATAATGCTGAAGTTGTAATGGGAAAGCTAGTGCAGAATATTCATGAGGATGTGCTCAAGGTATTAATAATCCTCGTTTGTGGCGTCTTTTTTTCACATTTATCTTTTTTAAAACTAATTGCCATCTAATGGAAAGAATCTTCAGAATCATAGTTTTCTTCTTGAAAAACTTCAGTATAAATCGAGTCATTTGATTTTCACAAGTCGTTGAAAAGTTTTTGTTTTTGTTATCAGTATCTTGATTACTTTCTCCCATTCTGTTTACACATGAAATAGTTATGAGTGTTTTACAGTACTCAACATCATCTACCCTTTATTACAAACAAGTTGACCTATTTGTTCATTGTAGAAACATGTGGATTCTCAACTCAGAAACTATGGCTCAGACAAGGAACAGTCACTGAAAAACCTTCAGAACTTGTACGAAAGGTAATAATCAGGATATAATGTTTCCTTTTTTGACCTTTATATTTGCTATATTTCTTGCACTATCAAGTAGCAGTATTTTGACCATTTCACCTGAACTTGTCATCTCTTACTATTTTATCCATTTTTACAGGGCCAAGAAACTTGGAGAAAAACTCTCTGGTTACAAACTTGGATCAGATTCCAATTTTCTGGAAAGACTGAGAAAAAATTTATTCAGTGAATACTTATCATCTTACATCAAGTGGGTGCCACTTAACAGCAAGTTAGATAGGTTTCTTTTCCACTCCCAATGAAGGGAATGCATTGTCACTGTGCTCCTATATTAATGCTCCTTAACACAATGTTGACACAGGTAACTGCGAATGCCAAAAAAGGTTAGTTGTGAAATTGTCTAAAACTACGTCGCGCGCGAATCTGAAAAACATCGATCAGTAAAAAAAGGAAAGAAAACATTAATGTAAGCTCGGCACGCGGATTCAGGGGAGGGAGGGCCCTTCATTTCGTGCGCCTCGCTCTTAGCGTTATGCGCAGCGCGCTTACATCAATTTTTTCACTGCTTTTTTTTGTTTGAACTCGCGCGAGGGACTATGCCGAAAAGTAGGGACTGCTCGTAGTCTAATTTTTACACTGAGCACTCACAGTTCTTTCAGAGCCCCTTTTTAAAAGTTCTTGATTCATGCTGTTTGTACTGTACAACATAAACAATACTTGACATTACTACTTTTGTGTCATAGAACAGAGTTAACTTTTCTGTCAGAGAAATCAGCTGCTATTTTGGAGAAGTACTACCATTCTATAAACCATGAAAAAAGGGACAGGATCACTGGTGCGAGGTACGTGTGTAGACTGTTATGTTTATTAAATATGAGTTTTGATGTCTAGTTTATAAACCTCCTCTGGCAGCTTTAAGCCTATTTTAGGAATTCGGTTTGTGGAAACGAGCGTGAAGCAAGGGCGAGCGAAGAAAATTAAAGCGAGAGGATTGGAACTAGTGGGAGGATTTTTTGGACACCAAATCAGATTTGAATTAACACATCAATGTACTTTCTTCTTGAAATACTGAATATTTTTTCCCTGATGATTTTCCGGTTTCTCGATTTTGTTTTCAGTCTTTTGAGTACGGAATTGACCAAAAGGATACCACTCAGAATGCACGCGAATTCCATGGACTCCAGTAAAGAGACTACTCTTCTGTCTCAAGATGTGGCTGTTAGTCTTTTGCAAGAAAATAAAATGGCTTTGAAAAGATGTGAGCTGGTGAGGGTGATGAAATCCTTGTATTCCTTTATTCTGTTTTTATGCTTTTTCCCCCTATCCAGCTTGCTAAGTAACTAAAATACTGGGCTGCATCTCCCGGGCTCGTTTACTGGGCACATAAAAATCACACAAACACATTGATCTGGAGTAAAAATGGCAGAGGGCAAAGGCCCAAAGCCAGTTTAATCAGTAATCAAAACTGAATCAATTATTACCCAAAATATTTGAATCTGGGAAAAATAGCTTGCCCAGTAAAGGTGAGGGCTGAAAAAAAACGCCAACAAAATCAACTATTAACTTGAGCTAAAACAAAGACATGTGGCTGGAATAAGGGGAGGAGGTGGGGTACAAACAAACGTGTCACTTGCGAAGAAATCTGAAGTGAATGACTCTGTGAATTCTGTCACGAGTATTAGACTCCACAAAAGGTGGGGGGTCGATACATTGCAATACTCGCATCCCTTAACCAGGCCTGTCACGCATCTTGCATTATCATGCAACGCTCTCTACACGTGACTAACATATATCAGCAATTATCACAATAATAGAACATTAATAATCGGGGGAAAAAAAGCATAAAAATCCTATTCGCGAGCAAATGTTTTCTTTTTTTTTGTTCTTATTCCCATGATAGTGGCGTGCTAAGAAAATCTCCATCGATGTATGATATATAGTGCAAGAGAGACTGAAAGCACACATTGTCTCAAGCTTCATATCAAAGAATGAAATACAATAAGTGATGTCAAATTTATATAAAGATGTATCCTAGCGAAAAAGCGGAGCTGCGAATGTTTCTCCTGGCACATTCGGTCACGGAAGTTGAGGTCCGAACGGGAATGGGTTGCTTAGAAACCCTCAAGTTTATTGAAATCTTCCTAAGGAGGGCCTATCATGGAATGAAATACGGTGAATGATGAGAGACTAACATACTGGGATCCTCGATCCCTAATCAAATATTTGAATTTCCTCTTATATATCACACTCTAATGTACAGTGTTTTTCTTGTAGTTGTCTTCTCCGTCTGACATGGCAGCAAATGGAGTGGAAATCTATCAAAAATTGCTATACAATCTGTGTACCGAGCACATTGACTACGCACTCAACGTCACCTTGCAAGGTATCTTATCAAATACAAGTAGTCAACTGAGTCAGGAAATTTTTGTCCGTTAAAGATGCGTTTTAAGATTCCAAAGATTGTTCAAAAATTGTCTTTGAATATTCAAAAATTCAATTGCGAACGCCACGTTTATGATTATAACTTGGCCGACACGCCAAACCACTCTTCCAAAAAAGAGTGTTCCTTTAGTTTTCGAAAACGAAAATTGTTTAAGTTAAAAATACCTTTGTATGCAGCTCCTGTTACTTCAAAGAGATCGTCAAGTGATGGGACCATAGTTGATATAAATTACTCATATTCAACCGCGTTTGATATTCCAAAGAGTAACTTAACCGATCGAAAATTGTCATGGCCGCGCGTCGAAACCTCATCGTGCTGTTCACAAACAACTGTTCACCCGGTTTCCGCAAAAGAAAGTCAAGAATACTTTTTTTGTGGGCTCCTAATTGTTAAAAAAGATTACCAAGCGGTGGGGAAAAAAGCTAGGCCTCTATTACGTCATGGGTTGCTGAGCAAGACAATTGTCGCAGAGTTTATTTCGCATGTGCCTCTTTATGAAGGAGATAAGAACTAAATGGATTCTTAAGCAATTGCTTCACTGCTCCAAGTCTCCTTTGGCTCCCTCTTTTAATAAAAGTTTAAAACCAATTTTTTATTCGGTAGCAATACCCTCAGCGGAACCTAAGGCACCGCCGGAGAGCCTGTTTTTCAAAGTGTCTGAGCAAGCCAATGCCATCTTTCATCTGTTTGAGAAACATTTCACGGACTGTGTGATAGGACTAGTCGCGTGAGTATTTGATGCACAATATTGAAGGTAGTTTGAGGTTTTACGACATCAAACTCGATAGCAAGTGCCAGCTAGCGGTTTAATAGAAAGTTATGGCTCTTAACATTTTGATGTGTCAGAGCGCTTTCCGATTGAGTGTTAGAAAACGAAAACAAAATTAATCACAGCTGCCAATATTAAGGAAGGAAAAAACTCTTAGGAGCCAATGAGAACTCAAAGGAAAAAACAAGTAAACTTCTTAAAGCGCGGGAAAACGCGGGTGACGAAGACGTGATTGGTTTTAGTTTTGCATCTGATTGGTTGAGAGAGTGGTATGAGTTTCTGAATCATCATCGAGCGAAGTATAGCAATACCATACTCGGATATTTGTCGAATTTCAATTTAAAATTGCTCTATTGAGAGGTCACCGAGTTAAATGGATGCCTAGATGAATTTTGTTTGCGGGTTCGACTAGTTTTACCCACTAAACCAGATCTCAACTTAATGCCTTCCGTTAAACGTACTCATGTCATTGTTTACAATATTAAAAACGCTATGAGAACCTCTGCACAGATCTTCGCCAGTTTATGCCGAATGCGTCCGAAAGAAGAAGGCAATAATGGAAATGATGGAAAGCAAACTGGACTCTGGTATAGACCGGTAAGGTTTTTGTATTTTTATCCCCGGCGCAGGCTACACCGTAAACTGCATTATCGCTAAATTTTAAGTTGATAATCTTAACACGAACTTTGCTTCTGGAAACATTCGAGGATCGTGGATAGAGTTTCTAGGCTTCACTTCGAGAATCGAGTTTTCTTATACATGTGTGTGTAATTTCTCTTTAATCTCAGGGTATCTGCTCTTCTAGGAGTTATGTCACATGTGCCATGGACGTTTATTTCGACTCACTCTGCAACTTAAGTCGCCAAAACGTTTCCCCCCTCGCCATGGATATCAGCTTACAGTGATACCGAAACTTTCTGATAATCTTTGTAAAATTACATTATTACACTCACTGAGCATAACTTTTCACTCCCGTGAAGGTTAAGACATCTTATATTCTGTGTTTTGCATTTTACTCTCCCCCCAACCCCCCCCCCCCTCCCCATCTCTCTCTCCTGTTTTGAAAGTTTGTCGTGCTTCCGAATACGCCGTACTTATTTACATCTTAGTTTTTCGGCTAGTTGTTATAAATTTATTTTATCGTTTCCTATATGCTTAGCAGAGAATTGATATATATTTTGAAGAAAGAAGACGTTGAGTTTTATGATCAGTTACCAATCATACCATTGTGTTTTGCAGGATTCTCACGTCAATGTCAGGTTGGATTAAGAATATTTTGTCAACAGAGCAGAAGAAATCAGATTTTAGACCTGAAGAACATGGAGTGGGACTTGTGGAGAGGACGACGGTACTGAATTGTTATCAAAGCTGTAAAGTGTAAAGAAAACTCATCATCAGTAGTTATTGGAGAGCGGTTACAGAGGTTCCATTGGGTTTTTTGACCGCGCGAGATCTGGGTATAGAGGAGAAGGGTTAAAGGCTACTTTAACTCATAACCACCCCCCCCCCCTCCCCCCAAGAGTGTCAAGCATCTAATTTCTCACTACAATATTACCCCTGAATCAAACATTAAGGTCACGAGAATAAAGGAAATAATCACCAACTAAAGATGCTCTTGATTGTTAAACAAATTCTCCTTGTCGGCACCCTAGGAAATGTGAAGAGATCGGTATGGAGAATGTGCATACTGATGTTAGGGTGTAAAGGGTTTAGGTCATAGACGTATCCGTTCATTTTCATCTGTGAGAAGTCCACTTTGATCTTTGGGGATTGTGAGCAATGAGTTCGTGTTGTTCCTTAAAACACTCCTTCACACAGAAGATGTTCTGCAAATGCCATATGATTTGATAGCAAAGTACGCTTCAGCGATCTGGTCAAACTTTGCAACAGAATAAAAGGAAGAAGTGATCGTCAGTTCCCCTTGGTGCAAACGTCTTTTTTCACTTTTGTGGTACTTCTTTTTCGACAATGAAAAGGATCTATATTTAAATGCGGTATGTTTCACCTGATATACTCGTGTGTTATTAATGTTTCTTTGTTGTGTGTTGACAGGCGTGCGCCAAGACTTGTGAATTCATTTATTCCCAGCGGAAGTTCATCCAGGAATCGATGGATGGAAAGAACTTGGAGTCGGTTCTCACAGAATTCGGCACACGAATTCACCGTCAGGTGTTTGAACATCTACAACAGTTTCAATACACTTCAATAGGTAAACAATGTTTGTTTCACGCTCGTTTCGTTTCACGTTTGACGTTTTCTCGTTTCATGCTCTTCTTAGCTCGAAGAACGCGCCTCACTCGTTCTTATTGCAAAAGACACACACTTGTCATGGCTACTTAAGTGAGCTTTGTGTTCATTGTCGTTTTTTTTTTTTAGGAGGAATGGTGGCCATATGCGATATAAGCGAGTACAGGAGCTGTATCAAGGAGTTCAAGGTAATTAAAAATATTCGTACTGTCGTGTTAGCCTGTTGGCTTTTCAGTCCCCATTTATTCTCCTTATTGAACAGAGATGAACAGAGGGCAATTTAACTACCCCGTTTCAGAACGTACCCAGTGACAACTCGTTCTGAATTTTAACGCCTTAATCTCAGGCAACTACAAAGTTCCTAGCCTCCCACACCCTATAGAATGAATGTTTTAGGGGAGAATTGTTGTTCAGACATGTTATATAGCGTTGTGCATTCTAGTGCGCCTTTGTGTTCCAAGGAGCCGGTTGTTGGAAAGACGGTAAGTGCTGGAGTAAACGTTATGATGTTTGATTCTTCATGTATAAAATGGTGTATGGACGGTTACTCTCGAGGGGGTTTTATCAAAGTGCAAGTCTGAACGAAGAAAACAGGAACGAAATTGTGGGGCTGCGTGCAAAGCTACTGAACTTACTCAAAACTTTACATCAACCCTGTGTTGCTTAGTTTTAATTGATGTCGTTTTTTACAACCCAGCCCTGTGTGGTAAATGATAATTTTGATCCTTTTTATTTTTTTATTAGATCCCCCTGCTAGTCAAATTATTTGACAAGTTATACTCGCTCACGAACTTATTAGTCGTCCAACCAGAAAACCTGAAACAAGTCTGTTCAGAAGAGCAATTGGTAAGTATGTGAATGAACAACTCTGATTTCGGTTTGGTATTCAAAAGTTTGAAAAAACTTTCTGATATTTCTTCCCGAAGCTCGTGTAGTGCTTACCTTAAACTCCAGAAGTAGGTTAGAGTCAATGGTAGTAGTCACAGTTGACTTTTCAGCCCGTTTGAATGTAGTTTGGAATGGTTAAGTTACCCAGGAATCTCTAAAACGCTGTAAGAAGGGAATTTTTGAATTCGCTTTTTAAAGACGGTGATAGATTTATATGGCTTCAGCAGGATATACTGCTCGTTTACGAGGCAGCTCGATGCCAAACCTTCACGTAAATACTGTACATCAAACTTACCACTATTCCTCCTGTTTTGTTTTAGGCAACACTAGACAAAGCTGTTTTACAACAGTTTGTACAACTTCGAGTTGATTACAGAACAGCCAAACTGTCCAAGCACTTCATGTAATCCTCACCAAAGAAAACTGCAACTTTTTCACTTTTGATCTCACAGTCCACTCTGTTCTGTTGGTCCAGGAGTCCTCTCCATTTGACACTTTAAAAAGATGATCTGACGACTAGCATTCAGTTCATGGACGCCCTGGAGCGTTGGAACGAATCACTTAGTGTAGATCTCAACCTATCTCTTTCCTTGGATGAATGACGATAGTAATGTAGTAATGTAACTCGTTTCGGCATACTACCTCGTTTCCAGGGTCCTCTCTTTTGTTCCTTCGAGGTCTCCGAGCAAACTGACCGCACTTTGGTTCCTTACTGGCTCTGTATTGTTAAACTTAGTCCCACTACTATGTTCATCTTTCTTGCTCGATATGTTAACTGTCTCAAGTGTAACTAGGGTTGAATTTAAAGTGAAAAAGTTAATGATTTACCGTCAAGGCTCTCGTTATCAGACTACGTCAAATTTTGACGTTGTTTCCTTCTGGACGGCCAGGAAGTTTACAAAGTTTCAAAACGCACGTGCAGAGCCGTTCTGCCAGTTGAATTTTTTTTCCGGTACGTTTTCGTTGTTGTCGCCGTAGGGGTTTCTTAAAGTCTGCAAACTCTAATGAAATTTGGCGATCAGAATTTAATTTCGGAGAATGCAGACTAACCAGAGAGCTTTAATTACTGACATCTCTCTCACGGTGATGGATACGAAACAATGTGTGACTGGTGAACTCGCCCCTTAGTAAGTTCGCTTCCAATCGGAGAGACATCTTAATTAAGAGATCTTCGATAGTTTTTAGTAAAGAAGATTAAGTAATTATTGACCTTTTCAGAAACATGTGCTAGGTTTCTGAATTATACCTCTCTTTATGAATGACACACAAAATTTCCTGACAATCTATTTTTTCATTTGAACCTTGTAACACACTTGTGCATCATAGTCTGTGGTTTATTGGTGGAGCGTCGGAGCGCAGGATCTGTAGGCCTAAAATCGTTCCCCCGTAGAAACTCAAATTATTACTTAGTCCCACGCTCTTAAAAAAAAAAAAACATCTCTATTTGCTTTATCTTGGGTATAGTAGACTCTCTGTTAAGTTCATGGACCATTTCATCAGCCAAGTTCTGACACTTTGACGTTTATCGACCGTCGTTTTTACTTTAAGTTCAAGTTACCAGAGTAAATTTGAGCTGACGGAAATAAAATTACTTCGATTTGACGGGGAGTCAAAGTACACCGAGTTCGAGTTTGCTGATGGTAAATGACAGGAAAAATAGTGGTAAATTCAGAATAAAAAGGGATCTTGTTCGAGTTAGCAGGAGGTTCGATATCGCGGGTTTCTACTGTATCTACCGCTATAAATAGTGTTAATAATGGAACAAACGGGAAAAGGAATAAATTAATAGCTACAAATGTGAAGGAGACTTCCTAATATACACAATTATGACTACCCTGAGCAAATCCAAATTTTGTGAGCTAGGTTTTATTAAAGTTGTAAACATCGATAAAGTGCTCCGTTTTACTGAAAGGTTTTTGGTTGGTGTAGCGAATATTAAATACTAATTTTCTCTTCTAATGCTGTAAAACAGTTTCAAGGGAGCGCTGCAAATGAGTTTAATTGAATTTTTCACCTGTTTTATAACCAAGCTATCAATTTGCTATCTTTGGAAGTCATACGATCGATTATAATTTACCTAATAACCCACGTCTCCCACCTAATCTGGACAACAGAATATTCTTTAACGACTTGGGGAAATACTTTGTTCAGAAAATCGATACAATCCGCACGCAGCTCGACACCGAACAGCAGACTGATTCACTTCCAGAAGACGACACTCCGTCTGCTATTCTTGATGAAATTATGCCATCATTCCCTACTTTTATGATGCCATCAGTTCGAGATGTGAAACGGCTTATCCACGATGCAGCCTTAAATCCTGCCCTTTTGACTCTATGCTATCCACGTTGGTTAATAAATGTGAGGATCTCGTCCTAGTTCTCATAAAAATCATCATCAACTCATTGCAGTCCGGGCTTTTTCCTGAAATTTGAAAAGAGGCTCTAGTATTTCCACTGTTTAAGAAACCCGGTCTCTAAGTCAGGTCTCAGTTAGGTCTCTATCATCTCTAAGTTCCATAAGGAACTTGTCTTTTGTGTCTAAGCTCATTGAAAGAGGGCTGGTTTCAATCAGATTCATGGTCACCTGGTTAGTAATATCTTGTATCCAGTTTCGCAGTCTGCTCATAGAAGAAATCACAGCACGGAAACAGGACCTCTAAAAGTAACCGCGAACGATATTCTGTTAAATATGAACGAGCAGCACATTATTATCCTTGTTTCGCTTGCGAGTCTCAGTTCGGAGAGCTGTATCTGATAAGTTTGACCTGCGGTATGGCGTTCCTCAAGGCTCGTGCCTTGGTCTACTTCTCTTTACAGTTTATACAGGTGCACTGTTTAATGTCGTCGAAAAGCACCTCCTAGTTGTTTATCGTTATGCCGATGACTCTCACTGGGACATCTCCTTTGATCCCAAGGCGCACTCTGCCCAGGCTGATGGAGTTGCTTCTATCGAACATTTTTATTGAACAGGATTTTGCTGAGTCAATGTCATGCGCAGATGAAAATTTCTTTTCCTAGGTTGATATTTGCACATGCAAATCAATAAATATTATTATTATTATGATGTTATTACTATGTGTAAGGCATCCGCGCAACTCGCTCACGAGTAGATTCTTCACCGCAAACAACTTGTCGAGAAGAGAAGGAGGAGAACAAACTTAGGTTGGATCGCAATATATTCGAAATTTTATTACTTAGAGTCAGAAACGCTTCTTATTAAAGCCAAAAATGGCAAACTTTGTCCTATCGTAATAGTTAGTAAATTCTGTAACATGCTATTTGTTACATTTAACACAGTTAGTAGCATTTTCGATAGGGTTAATTTTGCAACAATGTTTATAGAGATGGTAGGATTGGATCATATTTAAAAATCAGCAGTAGCAAGCTACTGCAAATGTTAATCTGTTTATAGTGACAAATTTGAACCATTTCAAGTACCATCAGATTTGTTACATTCTTTGAAGTTAAAGTACAGTTTGATTTTAAATCTTACTCGTCTGTGGCCTCTCTCAGAACCGCACAACTACAAGTTTCCATACATTATTTACAGATTAACGCACTCAGTGAGTGAATTATCGGGATTTACCTGCACGAGTTCACCAACAATGAACGAGAAATTTCAATAGCACGTGAGGCTTTGCCGAGTGCGGTATTAAAAATTTCGCGAGTAGAGTTAGAGTTGTGTTGCAACATCAAAGCATTTCATGTAACAGTGACTATTGGTCTCGTCACACAGCGCGGGAGAGAGCGCGTTGCGTGACAAGATAAACAACGGCTGCGAAGGAGAGTACATTAAGTAAAACTTACTTTGAGGTTATGTTTTCGTAACCCTGTACACCCTATCATCATTATGCATATTCTCCATACTGTTCCCTTTACATTTCCTAAGGCGCTGACGAGAGGAATTTGTTTAATTACCATCGAGAGCTTCGTCAGTTGGCGACAAGAGCTTTTCTCTTGACTTTTATGTTTGATTTTATGAATAATATTATAGAGAGAAATTAGATGCTAGTCACTCCCTGTGGGTTAAATTGTTAAGCTGCATGAAAATGTTTTTATCCAAGTTCAGTTCAGGTTTGCGGCATCAATGAAAGGTTTGGGTATCTTTTGACGGCAAGTTACACTGACGGTTAAGATCGATACTTCACAACTCGGACATTTTTCGGCAAGTTACACTGAAGGTTAAGATACTTCACAACTCGGACATTTTTTCGTGAAGGATCGACAGTTTCAAAGTCATTTTGTTATCTTTGAGTGGTACTGAGTCACAATTGCATGTTGTATCACGGAAGGTAAGGGCTTTTTTTCACTCTTCTTACGGTGGAGAGGAGGTGGCACAGATTACCAAACTACATTTTGAAACTTTTTTGCGTGATACCTATTTAAAGAATCATTAAAAAAAAAACTTGAGCATATGAACTACTCACCATTTATCGCCACCCATCCTCCTAGGGATAAATGTTGACCGGTCCCTTAGCCTGACATGACTTATCATGATGTCATTTCACATTACTCTGCTTTCAATTCTCTCTTGAGAGAACTTCATATACATCATGTTTGATTTCTTTCAGCTTTAACTTAGTAACTTCGTGCTTTCACATGCCATGAAGTAGAACAAGTGAGCAGCAGTTTACATAAATTCTTCAAGGAGATTTATGTTGATCGGCGATCCGGCGACTAGCATGCTTTTGTAGCCGATCCGAAGACAGGATTCGCCAAATCTTTCCCGCTCGCAAAGACAGCCATAATTTGAAGGTGTATTTTACTAGTTCCGTTCAAGCAAGTCCAACACATCAAATCCAACAATCAGTGGCGGAGTACCGTTGTGAGAATCGAAGTGTTTATCTAGTTGACGAAAAAAACAACTGCCCCTCATTCAGTACGTCGTAATGATGAAAAATAACTGCCTTTTATTCACAACACTGTTCATCGCAGCATCTTAACGATTGCAATGAAATAAATGGTCTAGGCAACAAGATTTTACAAAATAAAGAACAATACCTGAAATCTAACAAAGTGCCGCAAAAAGTTTTTGAACGAAAATGTTACCGGTAACCGTGCTCGGATTAACCTTCTTAACTCCTAATCTACGATTTTTTTTCCTACAAAATTAAGGGATACGTGGCCTTCCCTTTAAACTCGAGGACGTATTTTTAACTTAAGGGCCATCATCCAAAATCAATCTAGAATCCTGAAGTAGACAACTGTGAACTGCTCGTGTGACGAGTTATTATAATCTTTATCGCCAGGAAAAATGGAAAAAGGCTAATTTTCCGAAGAATTAATTTTATTAATGAAGTCAAAAAAATTAGCGTTACCCCGAAGTCGATATATACATTGGGTATGGAAATCACTTTATAAAAGTTATAACGACTAATAGTTCCTTGCAAAAAACAAACAAATGAAACCGAAAAAAAAGATTTTGAAAACCTTCGAAAATCTTACCCTACTGGAGAAAACGTTCTATTATCATGCTTTAGATTACAGCTGATTTTACAACTGATTTCCTTGGCAATTCCCTTCTCTAAACACCATTTTTTCCGAACCGACAACCAAAAAGCAGTGCTTTTTACAGTGGTTTCGCTGTTTGAGCTGTTTTTCAGCTGCGGTGGCGAAAGAAAACCTACTTAAAACGCCGGCCATTGTTTCGCTCGCAAATTTTCAAATTTTGTTGCGACATCCAAGGCTCGCATTTGATTGGCTATCGGTGAGTTTGTTTGATTATTGACCAATCAGAATGTCTGATTTGCTACTTTCCTTGCACTGAATTAACCTTCTTCTGCACTGAATTAACTCTCTTCTGCACTGAATTACCTGAAAACTGCATTTATCTTAACCAATCAGAACTGAGAAATTTTTCCATGTATATTATTAAGTATGATAGAGAACTTCACATGAAAACAATTATTCCATATTTGCTTGGGCTACACGACGTATCACTTTCGAAAGTATATTACACTAAATTTGCTTTGCTTAATATATTAATCGTTTTCGAAAACAATTAGTTATGCTTGGCTTGATTATTTAACTTTTCGCTTTCGAGAAAAGAATGCTCTTTGCGTTTGTTAACTGCTAACTGTTCATCATCTCTACTTCATAAATTTTCCTGTCCTGGGCCCGCTCTTTAAAGGAATGTTTTGTTCTGACAATAGCTGAGTGCCTTAAATTTAGCTCGCAGACCTCTTTCGCAGATGGCATCCTCTTTCTATAAATAATAGTTTCTAGCCTTACTCAGTCCAGCACATTCCGTTACAGTGGGTTTATTTTACTTATAGCTATTTGGTTGTAGTAGACACAGGCCAATTTGCCAAGTCAAATGTCACGTTGTCGCCAATCAGCATAAAAGACGCCCACTTAGAGACTTCTACAAAGCCGTTGTTTCTCATCCATTTCCTGGCCTCATGAAGAGATTCACTGGCGCTTTCACCGCGGAATAAGTGCTCGTAGAAACAAGTCATGAACTTCTCTGTGGCAGTGTCATCTAAGGCCCACCGTGCCGCTAACACTGAGCGAGCACCGGATCCTAAGAACGCTCGAGCGATTCCAATAACTCCCTCGGCCTTAATCTGTCCACGTGCACTGTGACAACAGCTTAGTACCACCAGTTTAGCTCGAAGCTTAATTCGTGAAATGTCCGCCATCGTCAAGAGGTAGGCTTCTTCTCGCGGAACATAGTCAGCGGAACACTCTGGGGAAAGGACAATCTCTCCTCTTTCAGCATCACCATGGGCAGCTAAATGGATCAGACTCACTGAATCTATTGCTTGAATTACAGCCTGCTTTGTCGCACGATCTCCAATCAAAGGTGCCACACCAAGAAGTCTTCCAATCATCTCTGCTTCCTTTCTTGCACATGGCAACCGTGTTATATTCTTGCGTCTTCCCTTGTAAATCACCTCTCCAACCTGAGGGTCACCGACTATCAGTGCACCTGTTTGACTGTGATAGTATGGGGGACTGTCCTGAATATGCTTGAGAGTCGTCAAAGAGGGAACGATGCGTAACCTGAATGTGTCTGATACAAAATTTCCTCCATTGTCAGTTAAAGCCGCAAATGGTACCTGGTACATACAGGAATCAGGGACAATGATAATTTCGGACTCATTCTGTAAAGCGGCCACAGGAGCGATGATTATCTTTTGGCACAAGTGAAGATACTTTTTGATAACTTTCTCGTCACAATCACGCAAGAGCGGTTGATTTTCATGGTCAAGTGACATCGATTTCGTGTCATCTAGAGATCGATCTTCGCAATTCTGTTCGGGTAAAATACCAAGGCCACGAAAGCTTTTCCTAAAAAATTCATCCAAGTGAGGGACTAATCCGGTCACCACGTTTTTTTCCAGGCTCCATTCCTCTTTTGAAAAAAGAATAGCTCCTGTTGCTTTGAGAATCCAGAAGCGCATATGCTTTTCTCCAACAGAAATGTAGAGGCATGCACAGTCAGTTTCCTTTGCGACAATGTTTTGAATCCCATACCATGATTTTGGATCGCCTGAGATCTGCTCTACAACAGAGAACCGAGCTGCCATCAAGTCGGCTAAGCCCCTCGCCCGTCTCAGCTCCTCGACATAGAGAGCGTCTTGTGGCTTTGCCGTGGAAGAAAGCAAACAACTGAGTAACTTGTAGGGAAAGGTGCCGTACGTCTCCAAAAGTGATGTTTTAAACTCATCGTTGTCTTTAAGAGATCCTCGCAAAGTGTCAAACATTTCAATGGTTTGGAAAAGAGACGAAAGGGCTGCTTCAAGATCAAATTGTGATACCTTCAACACCGTTAGACCAAGAAGGCATTGAAACTCATACAAGAAGTGTCCAATATCCCTGCTTAGTAAGATAGCCTTCTTGAAGTATTCCTCGGCTATGTCATATTTACCGAGCGATTGAAAACACAATCCTAAATTTGCGCAACTGGCAACAACACCTTCTTTCATACCAATATCCATGTGAATTTGAAGGGCTTTCTTGAAATATCCTAGAGCATTGTCGTACTCACCACGCTTATGTGAAATTATCCCAAGGCATATGAAATTTTCTGCTTGTCCTTGTCTGTAACCGATTTCCCTACAAATTGCGTTCGCTCTCTCCAAAAAATCGTCAGCCTTTAAATATTTACCGAGTGACAGAAACAAATGTACAAGGTTTACTAAAGTGTTTGCCTCTCCTTTTCTATCGCCAATTCTCCTGTAAATACTTAGAGCTTTCTCCAGGTATTCTTGGGCTTTGTCGTATTTGCCAAGCGATTTGAACAGTGTTCCGAGGTTTACGAAATCTGAAATTTTCTGCTTGTCCTTGTCTGTAACCGATTTCGTTGTCGCCAAAAAATCGTCAGCCTTTAAATATTTACCGATGACAGAAACAAATGTCCAAGGTTTCTAAAGTGAGCCATTCTCCTGTAAATACTTAGAGCTTTCTCCAGGTATTCTTGGGCTTTGTCGTATTTGCCAAGCGATTTGAACAGTGTTCCGAGGTTTACGTAGCTTGTTGCCTCTCCATTTCTGTCGCCAATTTCTATTTTGATAGCGAGAGCTTTCTCCAGGTATTCTTGGGCCTTGTCGTATTTGCCAAGCGACTGGAGCACTGTTCCGAGGCTATGGTAGCTTGTTGTCTCTCCATGTCTGTCGTCAATTTCAATTTTGATAGCGAGAGCTTTCTCTAGGTATTCTTGGGCCTTGTCGTATTTGCCAAGCGATATGAACAGTGTTCCGAGGTTCCCGTAGCTTGTTGCCTCTCCATCTCTGTCGCCAATTTCTATTTGGATAACGAGAGCTTTCTCCAGGTATTCTCGGGCCTTGTCGTATTTGCCAAGCGATATGAACAATAGTCCGAGGTTCCTGTAGCTTGCTGCCTCTCTATGTCTGTCGCCAATTTCTATTTGAATAGCGAGAGCTTTCTCCAGGTATTCATGGGCCTTGTCGTATTTGCCAAGCGATATGAACAATGGTCCGAGGTTCGTGTAGCTTGCTGCCTCTCCATGTCTGTCGCCAATTTCTATTTTGATAGCGAGAGCTTTCTCCAGGTTCTCTCGGGCCTTGTCGTATTTGTCAAGCGACTGGAACACTTTTCCGAGGCTATGGTAGCTTATTGCCTCTCCATTTCTGTCGCCAATTTCTATTTGGATAGCGAGAGCTTTCTCCAGGTATTGTCGCGCCCCGTCGTATTTGTTAAGCGATATGAACTGTGTTCCGAGGATTCCGTAGCTTGTTGCCTCTCCATGTCTGTCGCCAATTTCTATTTGGATAACTAGAGCTTTCTCCAGGTATTCTTGAGCCTTGTCGTATTTGCCAAGCGATATGAACAATGGTCCGAGGTTCGTGTAGCTTGCTGCCTCTCCATGTCTGTCGCCAATTTCTATTTTGATAGCGAGAGCTTTCTCCAGGTACTGTCGGGCCTTGTCGTATTTGCCAAGCGACTGGAACACTATTCCGAGGCACACATAGACTGTTGCCTCTCCATGTCTGTCGCCAATTTCTATTTGAATAGCGAGAGCTTTCTCTAGATATTCTTGGGCCTTGTCGTATTTGCCAAGCGATATGAACAGTGTTCCGAGGTTCCCGTAGCTTGTTGCCTCTCCATCTCTGTCGCCAATTTCTATTTGGATAACGAGAGCTTTCTCCAGGTATTCTTGGGCCTTGTCGTATTTGCCAAGCGATATGAACAATGGTCCGAGGTTCGTGTAGCTTGCTGCCTCTCCATCTCTGTCGCCAATTTCTATTTTGATAGCGAGAGCTTTCTCCAGGTACTGTCGGGCCTTGTCGTATTTGCCAAGCGACTGGAACACTATTCCGAGGCTCCCATAGACTGCTGTCTCTCCATATCTGTCGCCAATTTCTATTTGAATAGCGAGAGCTTTCTCTAGGTATTCTTGGGCCTTGTCATATTTGCCAAGCGACCTGAACAGTACTCCCATGTTCGCGTAGCTTGTTGCTTCTTTTTGTCTGTTTCTGGTCATTTTCATGACATTTATTGCTAATTCATAAATTTCTTTACCTCTTCAGGGTGAAGTAAAGGTTCTCTGAGGTATTCTTCAATACCTGGTGAATTGCATAGAGTGAGCCGCGCCCTTTTCACTGTGGTGCGGATGCGTTCGTCAAATGATTTGGCAACTGGACTGTCCGCGCTTAAATCACCGTTGTTTAGTAAAATCAAGCTTTCTTGGCACAACTCAATGGCTTTCAAGGCCAAACCAGTGTTGAGAAGGAAAATGGCGACAGTTACACCTATTTTGATAACTAACGTGGTGAATTCCTCTTTTGTGTTTTTCATATCGCCTTGATCACTGTAAGTTTGGAAAAAAATGTAGATCAAGCATATGACACTCGAAAGTTCCTGTACAAGGGTTCATGGGTGCGAACTTTTTCAGGAATCTTGGTTTTCTCATTCCGTGGGAGGTCCTACCCCATGTCTGTCATAGGGTTCCTTATCCTAACCTGTTTAGTTTCCACTAATAAATTGAAAAAACCTTTCTCACACACTTTTGTTCACAGTTTTCATTTTCCTTCAAATCACCACAAACTGGAACTACAAGTGGTAGATACTGGGGAAGGGGTCCAAGGGGTCAATCAGTTGCATCTCCTACCCCACATTTTATGATTGTAAAACATTCAGTCAGTCATAACTTATAAATACCCTACCGTTTAAAGACACAAGCTTCAAGTACTGTGATGGATCTTGCGATGAAAATCCAACCGTTAATACGCAATGAATACTGGCTGGGGGCTGACGTTTCCTGTAAAACAAAGAAAATTGTGTTATTTTGCATGCTCATATCCATCAATGTTTATCAAAGTTAGACTAACAAAACCGAAATACAAATACCTAAACCGGAGAACTTGAAGCTCGGAGAAGTGTGCTGAACTTTTCTTTTTCTTCCCCCAAGATGAACACTTTCAAGGATAACATTAGGTAAAATAATCGTTTTAGAGAAACTCACACTATTAACTTCATCTGTTTTGCTTATATAGTAATTAACATAGTGTCTTTGTTGGTCTTTGTTATTGATGATGCAAATCACACTCATTAGAAAATGAAAAGTTTATCAGTAAAGAGTCGACCATCACACACAAACACTGAAAAATACCCTATTTAATTGTACTGCTGTGATCGATCTCGTGATGAAAATCCAACCGTTTAAAAGCAATGAACACTTAAGGGCTAACGATCCCTGTACTGAAGGTCCAATTTTTTTCATTTTTGCATACTCGAATCCATCATTGTTTACAAAATTCGAAACCGAATTACAAGTACCTTAAGAGGAACAGTGCCTTACGCTTTCTTTATTTTCCACTTATGAATTAGGAAAAAAGTTGACGGAATTTATTTATTCTTCTATGACTCGACTTCCATTTCAGTCTCACAAGGCTGGGCCGAGAATTCAAGTGTTCTAGACATCAAGGTATCAAAACTATTGCTATTCATCATTGCTTTTAGGGCGCGTTGTAGTGCTCTCAAATTGCTAGTTTCATAGCCAAAGCGAAGCGGAAATAAAAATGTGAGAGTAGTAGGGATGACTGATGTGACTTTTAAGGAGATTAGCCTCAAGGATCCCGCGTCATAAGTCGGTATGGTCCAGGTTCATTCTTCCCCCCCCCCCTCTCCTTCCCGGAATGTCATCGATTGTTGTATATTTTTCAGAGAGTGTCGAGCTATGGCTATGTAGATCCTAACTTTAATGTTACCCACTCGTCACTTTATCTAAGTCTTATCTAGATTAACACCTTAAAGGATAACTCTTATTGAAGTAATCATATTAGAGAAACTCGCCCGCTTAACTTCATCCGTTTTCCTTATTTAGTAAATTACTTAGTACCTTAAAAATGCAAATCACACCCAATAGTAAATGAAGAGTGGAATATCACGGAGATGGCTTACCCTGTGAAGGCAGATTATTCACTTGTACTTTGATCAATCTTGTAATGAAAATCCAAACGATCAGAAAGAGTGAACACCAAAGACTGACGTTCCCTGTTAAACAAGTAAATTGTTTCATTTTTGCATGCTCATATAAGTTAGATATAAAAAAACTGAAATACATTAACTAAAGAGGGAACATCTTTCATTATCTTCATTCTGTAGAACGAAAAAAATATATGAATTTCATTCATCCTTCCTTAATACTCTATTCCTTCCTTTTCAAGATTAGCTCGACAGTGCGACGCGCGGCAAAAACTTTGACGAGGCCGGAATAGAATATATCTCTACAGAAATCAATTTTACCAGCCCTGGTGATATGCGATTCTGTCGTTTACAGAAAATTACAATATACAAAACGGTGTTTATAATTTTTAATTCGACCTCGCTGTTTGTGATTGTCTCTCTATTTGATAGACATTACCTCTCAGTTTTACGTCTCATAGATCATTACATTGAATATAGCATGATAGAACACTGACGCTCTAAACAAAAATGGTGTGTGTAGGCTATGTAAGGGCACTATCAGTGGGAAATAAGTTGAACTGTTTCATTTTTTTGAATACAGCCAGTACTTGCCAAAACCTGTGGACTTCAGTGCCTCACCATAAAAAATAGTTAACCGCCTCTGCTACTCCGTTTTGTTTTTTCCTAACACATGTCAGCTGTGACTCACATAAAAAAGGCAATAGAATATGATCTTCTGGTTCTTTCTGTCACTTTCGCAGTCACTCTTGTCTCCAGGCTTACCGTTTCTCCTGGCCAACCCCAGACATCCATTTTTTTTTAACTTGAACCACCAAACCCACATGATTACACTTGATTAGTTCGTCAAATGATTTGGCAACTGGACTGTCCGTGCTTAAATCATCCTTGGTTAGTAAAATCAAACTTTCTAGGCACAGCCCGATGGCTTTCAGGGCCAAACCATTGTTGAGAAGGAAAATGGCGACAGTTACACCTATTTTGATAGCTAGCCTGGTGATTTCTTCTTCTGTGTTTTTCATATGGCCTTGATCACTGTAAGTTGGAGAAAAAATGTAGATCAGGCATATGACACTCGAAAGGTCCTGTAAAAGGGTTCATGGGTGCGAACTTTTTCAGGAATCTTGGTTTTCTCATCCCGACGGAGGTCCTACCCTGTATTGAAATGTAGCGTTTACGAGACTGGAACCGGCATGAGTGTGATTGCACTTCCTGGTTCATCTCACAAAAATCTGGTTTTTATTTAATGATTGCGCCATTCGCGTCAGAACGTTTTGCTAGAATGAAGTAGGGGTAACTAAATTTAAATGGTTGAAACCAAGTTTTTTTTCTGTTACTCCATATATAGCCTATAACATTTGGTACATAGGGTTCCTTATCCTAACCTGTTTAGTTTCCACTTCGGTGTTTGTCGAATTTTGTCAAATCACTCAATGTGTAGTTACAGATCTAATTGGATTCTTCTTCGACTCTTTTCATTTCTTTTCGTCAGGAATCTTCGTGATCTTAGGCAATAAGATCTTGTTACCGTTTGTTCCACTGAGGTGTTCATAACACTGTCACGCACATCATTGAGATGCTCATTACGATATCACACAAATATTTAAACTTATTGTTTGAAGCTAGATATGTTCCGCGTTCATTTTGATACGAGTGAGGGTACCTGAATGAAATTTTACCCGGAAAAATGAAAAAACCTTTGTCACATACTCTTGTTCACAGTTTTCAGTTGCATTTCCTGCCCCACATTTTATGATTGTAAAACATTCAGTCAGTCATAACTTATAAATACCCTACCGTTTAAAGACAGAAACTTTAATTGTGCTGTGATCGATCTTGTGATGAACATCCAACCGTTAAAACGCAATGAACACTAGGGGCTGACGTTTCCTGTAAAACAAAGTACATTATTTCATTTTGCATGCTCATATCCATCAATGTTTATCGAAGTTATACTAACAAAACCGAAATACAAATACCTAAACCGGAGAACTTGAAGTTCGCAGTAAACTGATGCACTTTTCTTTTTCTTCCACCGAGATGAACACTTTCGAGGGTAACATTTGGTATTATTATCGTCTTGTAGAAACTCAAACTATTAACATCATCTGTTTAGCTTATATAGCAATTTACATAGTGTCTTTGTTATTGATGATGCAAATCACACCCATTAGAAAATGAAAAGTTTACCAGTAAAGAGTCGATCATCACACCCAAACACTGAAAAATACACTATTTAATTGAACTGTGACCGATCTCTCGATGAAAATCCAAATGTTTAAAAGCAATGAACACTTAAGGGCTGATGATCCCTGTACTGAACAAGTACAATTTTTTTCCTTTTTGCATGCTCAAATGTATAATTTTTTATAAAATTAAAACCGAAACACAAGTAATTTAAGGGGAACAATTAATATTCGGAGTAAATTGCTCAGCGTCTTTCTGTATTTCCACTTATGAATTAGGAAAAAAGTTGATGAATTTATTCATTCTTCCATGATTCGACTTCCATTTTTCTCACATGAAAATCCTGTCCGAGGTTGGCCCGAGAATTTAGGTGTTCTAGACATCAAAGTATCATCAACATCGCTTTTATGGCGCGTTGTAGTGTTCTCAAATTGCTAATTTCATTGCCAAAGCGAAGCGGAAATAAAAATGCGAGAGTAGCAGGGATGACTGATGAGACTTTTCAGGAGATTAGGTTCAAGGATCCCGCTTCATAAGTATGGTCCAGGTTCATTCCCCCTCCCTCCCCTCCCCAAAATCTTATCAATTGTTGTTTATTTTTAGAGAGTATCGAGCTATGTAGATCCTAACTCTAATGTTACCCACTCGTTACTTTATCTAAGTCTTATCCAGATAAACACTTAAAAGGGTAACTCTTAGTAAAGTGATCATCTTAGAGAAACTCGCACGCTTAACTTTATCCGTTTTCCTTATTTAGTAAATTACTTAGTATCTTGATCATGCAAATCACATCCACTAGAAAATAAAAAGTCTTGAACAGTGGAATAACGCGGAGATGGCTTACCTTTCGAAGGCTGATAGTTCACTTGTACTTTGATCAACCTTATAATGAAAATTCAAGCGGTCAAAACAAATGAACACCAAAGGCTGACGTTCCCTGTAAAACAGAATAAATTGTTTATTATTACATTAATTAAATCTGCAAACCAGAGTAGCATCAAACTATGTCAGAATAAATTGTTTCACTTCTGCATGCTCAAATCCATCATTAGTTATATAGGTTAGATATAAAAAACCGAAAAACATGAAGTAAAAAGGGAACATCTTTCTCTATCTTCATTCTGGAGAACGAAATAATATATGAATGTCATTTAGCCTTCCTAAATACTCTATTCCTTCCTTCTCAAGATTAGCTCGACAGTGCGACGTGCGACAAAAACTTTGAAGAA